CCTGACAAGCCAGGATATGGCACCTCCTCGACGCCCACGGGAAGAGAGTTTAACAACATTTGTTCGATCCACTAATCCAGTGTGACCAGTGATCGGGCTGAGACCATTAACACGCTCCACTTGAAAGAACTCTGTTTTAATCACGGGTGGTTGATTACAATCGTCTGGCGATGGCCACCTGGGCAGTCCGGCCCGCACCTCCGATTAGCACGGTTGGCTTACGTACGGTGGGAAGTAAGTTCAACATGCATAACCTCATAATCGCGGACTTGCAGTGAGGAGAAGGCGGTTCAAACGCGTTTTTTTCCCCATGCAAACGCCGGGAATTTTTTTGAAGAGGTCGACAGATTCGCATATTGTTTTTGTTAACCAATGTTGCGAGGTCACACTAACCTTTAAACGCCAAAGTAACGCATATATAATGTATAAATTAATAAAAGTTAAGAAAGGAAAACATGTAAAAGCCACAATATTGAACGACGAGTCAGCCATTAGTTCTTTAATGTAGGCGTAGTGTTTTCCAATACACTGACGAGGCTACCCTGTTTGTTCAATAAAAGTGTTCCGTTACAAATGATTAACAATTTAATGTGTACCAGCAACATTCTAATACTTTACTTTTAATGTACATGATTTTGTGTCGTAATGCATTATGATTTTTGAAGGGTTTGTTAATCAATAGCCACTGTTTGGTAACGATTCGTATGCCAATAAAACAAACTGGGAATCTGATTATATATTTTAAAACATTTAACTCCCAAACCACACGTGACTTATTATTTGATTCATCTTCTTGGTTCTTTCGGTAAAATCACGTAGAAGGGAAATAATAAAATAATAAAAATAAAACATAATCAAATAATTGTCACGACGTTTCGGCCACAACGCAAGCAGTCGTCCTCAGGTGAACATCGTGAGACTTATTTTAGTATGTTTTATTTTTATTATTTTATTATTTCCCTTCTACGTGACTTTACCGAAAGAACCAAGAAGATGAATCCCTGCAGTCACGAAAGCTTTAAATCGAAATTTATTATTCGATTCTTTCGGTAAAGTCACGTATAAAGAGTAAATAATACATTAAATAATAGCAGTCACGAAAGCTCCAAATTAAGTTCGCACATTAATTCTCAGAGGCCCCATGTGATAGAGTGCGATCTCCAACTGTAATTATTCACTCCGTCTCTCTGGCATGTCGATGTATGTGCTATATGTGCTATATGAAGAATGGTTATTTCTGAAAAGTCACCTATATTATGTTTTCCTTTACAGGTCGGTGTAGTTGACAAATGTGTTGATTTGCTGTGTAATTAAGTGATGGTGTTTCATCACTGGTTAGGCGATGGTGTCCAATAGGGTTGTTAAAAGTGGGGTTTATTTGCATTATTGGTAACCCCATGGAAAATAAACGGTTACCGGTTTGCCGCATAACATCAAAACGTCTGGACCAATAAACAAAAAACGTTTACATATTTCCCCGAGTGTCTCCGTGTTCTGCTCGATGACGCTGTTTCTACATGAGCTCTTAGGGTGAGAATCCACATCTTCAGAGATAAGAATCCTTGCGCAGTTCACCAGCAATTGAAATGCCTGTCCTAAGGTGTGTTGAAGTTTGTCGATATCACGCATCTTTCAGTGAAAAGATTAGCAACGTGATATCGATATTTTTATGTTATTTGTACCATCTACATATTCTTGGTTCTTTCGGTAAAGTCACGTCGAAGGGAAATAATAAAATAATATTAATATAAAACAATAAAAATTCTCACGACGTTTGATATTTATATTATTTTATTATATCCCTTCTACGTGACTTTGCAGGGATTCATATTCTTGGTTCTTTCGGTAGTCACGAAAGCTTTAAATCAATATTTGTACCATCTACGTTAACAATTGTTTCGTGCGATGGCAAACCGGTGTTTTTGTGCATTTCATGCGAAGTGCGTTCTGTTTAATCGGCAAGCTGAACAACCCGCAGAGTAATCTTTGTGCACAGCTTCAAGTTCCGCCGTCTGGCACGTGCCAGCCCTGGGCCACGACGCCGTTCGTCCGTCCTCACTCCGAGTCACTCGTGCCCTCTCCACACGCCGATCTGCGCACCCTGCGATCATAGCGACCTCTACCGATGCAACACAACAACGCAGTCGTCAATAACGCCGCCTGAAATAGGGTCAAATGCGTACAAAGGGCGACGTTTCGGCTAATTTGCCCTTCTGCATAGCACACCAAATACCTTATCTACCGACAGAGAATGGTGTTCTGTGCACAATGAGAGCGGGCGGCGGTGATGATGAAGACTGCTGCCGCTTCTTCTTGGTTCTTTCGGTAAAGTCACGTAGAAGATATGGGATTAGTCATTACTTGTGGAATACATAGGAGGTGGGCGGGGGGTTTCAAAGTCATAATATGCCCGTGCATTATGCCGCTGTTGACGATAATGCTTCTGCTTAAATATACGCTGCCAAGCTTGGTGGTGTTCATTCGGACGCTGTCTTTCCGACAGACCTGTTCTTCACCTGAGGACGGCTGCTTGCGTTGTGGCCGAAACGTCGTGAGAATTGTATTTTATTATGTTTTATTTTTATAATTTTATTATTTCCCTTCTACGTGACTTTACCGAAACCAAGAAGATGAATCCCTGCAGTCACGAAAGCTTTAAATCGAAAGATAATGCTTCTGTTGCTGCTGTTGTTTCTGCTGATGATGCCGATGGTTCCGCTGTTGTCGATGGTGCCGATGTCACTGCTGATGACGTGCCGTTGCTGCCACTGATGATGATCCTCCTGATGGCAATGCTGTTGCTACTCATGATGGCCATAACTCAATATACGTTATTACCTCACACGCTCTGTGTCCCCCCCCCCCCCCCCCACGTGCGTTATCTTCAAGTACGAATACAATGTTTTTCAACCATATTCAAATTGAGTTCATTCAGCACAAGCCTGCCACGAGCCTTCCTATCGTTAGAACTATGGGATACCCTCCCATGCCACACTTAGTCAAATATTAACTTTAAGATGTTTTTTGTTCATGTTTTTGTTTTTTGTTTGTTGCGGTTGCACCCGATTCAAGAGCCGAATGGCTCACAGGGCTATACCTAATAAATGAACTTGAACCCGACATATCCGACAAATGGACTCCATCGTATTAATCAAATCCGAACTAAAGGCCTTTTTTATTCATCCCTGGCAGTGGTGCCAAATGAGTAATTGGCAGCAGTAAGCAGGCACGAGAAAACATCTAGGGAAAATGCACAAACTCCGCAGAGAAATGGGCCCGACTTTAACTCACAGGTCCTTCTTGCTGTGGATCCACAGGCGTTACCACGACGCCACACTGCCGTCCAACGTACTCAAATCCTTCTCTACCACACGGGTCATGAAAACTCCATGAAAATATGCCAGAAGGCATCACGCTCTAAGCTGTTGGGGAACGTTTCAGCGAGCATGGCACACTTCCTGTTTTAACACTGTAAAGTTGAGAGACGAAGGTCCTATCAACAACATCGATCGTGTGGGGGAATGCGGGCTGGAAAAAAAACTGCCAAACTGATCCGTCAAATTTGGTGGATTAACAGATGTTGAGTTTGATATTTGTGCGTTTCCCGCATCTCCGATTCCCACGGTTGGCTACGAAAGAAGTTCAACATACATACGTTGCATCATTAGCCGAGTTAATAATGCTCCAGGTTGGCTAACATTTATTTAAAGTGCTGGCCTCAACCTTACCAGGCGGTGGTGGGAACGTGCCTCATGACACCAGTAGCAGGTGGTATCTGATGCCTTCTCGAGCCTCAACTTGGTTTCATTCTCCAATAGATCTTATCCCAACAGAATATAAGGCTAAATGAGGACTATTTGTGCATGTCAGCGTTAATCCATATCTAGTGTATAAACATTAGTGTGTGTGTGTATTTGTACATGCACGTTCTCACCTGCTTAATGGAATAAACTTGACACGTGTACACGAGTCCACGTGTGATCCTGTACATTGTAACCGCATGTCTGTGTGCATGTGCGTTACGTATTCTGTCCATGCGTGTGAGAAGCGATAACATCGTGGTTATTGCTCAGCGCTATGAACCCAGCGATCAGAGTTCGATTCCTGCACACGGCCAAGATCAGTGATGAATATCTGAAATGGTCCTGGGGCTCCCCTAGGTCGACTCCGCCATAAAGAAGTACCTGGCGCAGTGTGCATGCATGAGCACTAGAGAGACAAAGACAGCCGAGTGTAGTGTAAGCCATACCAGCCTCATGTGCACCGTGTTGGCCTCGATAGGCATTCGCTGACAGCACTTGCTCCAACAGTCTGTTAAGGATATTTGCGTGATTGTGTATGTATGTGTAACGCCATGAACACACGGTGTACTTACCTGCACTAGCGGGCATACGTCAGTAGGGGGTGATATGTGGGCCACCGAGGTCCCCCAGACCCCAAGAGGGGGGCTGGGGGAATATTCTAGGATCCCCTGGAACACTCTGGAAGGGAGGCGTGGCCAGAGGCAGAGAGACCCGAGGAGGTGTATAAAAGCCGGACCCCTGAACGGGTTCGGCAGCCGTCCTCAAGCCGAAGACAGAAGACCGGGCTTAAAGTAGGACCCTGGGACCTCCAGACCCGCTGTCCTTCTAAGGGCCGGAACTGAGGTGGGACAGTGGTCGGACCCTGGGTACCCCCAGACCCGACTTCCTTGTCAGGGCCGGGACTGAGTGGGCCAGTGGCCAGGACCCGAGGACCTTGGCTGGGTCGGTCAGGATAGCCTCCCCTAGGGCCCCTAGCCGGAGGGCTGAGTGTAGAGTGGGTCACAGTGTCAGGAGGCACGATAGCCCTGGGGCCATACCTCCCCAGGTAGCAGGTGTAGGGGGCCGTTGCCCTTCATAGTAGGGACCTTGCGTTGAGTAATTTGTTAAATAAACTGTTGCCTCAAGTACCGGCTCTCCCTCGTCTTTGGGCTCACTACATATGCACGCGTGTGTGCACACATGCACAAGTGCTCGGTCTTTGCTTTGGAAGCCATTGTCATGTTTATTTGTATGTTACATTCACAGCCTCGACTCAAACTCACAACAGTTTTAGTGGACGGGCTCCTAACAAGGTCAAGTTAATGAGGTCATTGTAACGAGGTAGACGTTAATGAGATGATGTCTTGTTGGTGCTGTACGGTGGCACGGGGATGTCCGGACACTGCAACCACAACAAAAACCCCATCAACAACAGCCACTCCAATCAGAGCTACGAATCAACCACATCAACAACCGCAAAGCACGGCAACCACAACAGCATTCACGTCGACAACCACAGGCACAGCAAGAAACGTCATCAACTAGAAAAAGCAACCAAAATAATAACACTTGATCAACAACCACAACAACATAATTACCACAGTACCAACAATCAATCCTAGCAATCTCATCAACCACACTGATGGTGGTGACAGAGGTGACTGATGGTGGTGGTTGTAATATTTGTATTTGATGGTTGTAGTATTTAGATGTTATAGTATACTGGTCGTTGCACTGTGTGTATCTTGTAATGGTAATAGTCTGTGTAGTGGCGGTTGTACTCATGTCTCACCGCGAGTCTCAGTCCCATGTCAATGTCCGCAATCAAGTCTTCCGTCTCTTCGAGCCCCACGGATAGACGGATCAGCGCGTCCGAGATTCCCAGAGTTGCACGCACGTCATCGGGGACAGACGCGTGGGTCATGAGGGCCCTGCACAACAATGACAACAACTAAGCAACAGCCACATCCATGACTTATCAATAACGAAACAACAACTGCAGCATGAAGTAAATAACAATCACTCAGAGCAAGAATTACAACGATACAATCACCAAATAACTAAACAACAACCAAAAAAAATACACAATCACTACCATAAAAACAGCACAGCAATCGGACACAACTGAACAACCACAAACACAACCACAGACAAGAAAATAATGACGACAACTAATAAACAACAACAACCAAAGACAATTAAACAACAAAACACGCAACAAAAGCAACTTAACAAAAAATACTCATAACGACCATAACTTAACAGCAATCACAGCCCCAAACAAGCAACAACCACACAACAGCGACCACGCAACCACTAAACAAGAACCACCACAACTACTAAACACACACAGAAGCACAGCAGGAGATTCCTAAGTCAATCTGTGCGGAACTTCGAGTGTTACCTGATCGCACATACACTTGGCCGACACGAGCCAAACTCTCGTGAACAGAATTGACTTAAACATCCCAGTTCAGGACGCTCATGCATAGAGATTCTTGAGACTCAGTGCCGAGATTTTCCGTGGTAAATAAGGGACATTGTTATTGTAATGGTTGTCACTGCAGTGGCGTTGTGGCTGCTGTGCGGGTTGTTGCAGTTTTGGTGTTTGTGTTGTGGTCGTGATTGATAACGATTGTAGTACTGGTTGCGTGGTGGTTATGGTAAATGTGGGAGTTGTTGTTATTGGTGTGGTTGTTGCACTCACGGGTGTTCTGCCAGGCTCTCGTATCCACCCAGACTCTCAGCCAGAGTGAATACCTGGGATACACGGGAACACACGGGTTGCACATGGCTACATCACACTGCAACAAAAGACTCATCATGTGTCCTGTCCTAAAGTCTCCCCATGCCTCCCTGTGTCGCTCCATATCTCCATTCACCTCTCCGTGCCTCCCCATGTCTTCGTGTCCCATCGTTTCCACAGTTCACCACATGTCTCCATGTCATCGTATCTGCCTCCCCTTGTCATATCTTCCCATCCCTTCCCATGTCACCAGTTATGCTTCTGTCACCTTTCACCTCTCCTGTGTCTCTCTTCACCTCCCGCAGAATCCACCTGTGTCTTCTTCTTCACCTCTCTTCACCTCTCCCCACATCTCTGCGTCTTTCCCAGTGTCTTCCACCAATTCCTGTTTCTTACCTTGAGGCTACTCAGGAATGTCTTCGACTCCTTCAGGCCCCCTCGGATGTAGAACGTCACCATCCCCGAGGCACCGCTCGTCTGTTTCAGTGACACTTCGTACTGCGGGTGAGACGGGAGGCCTGGAGACACAAGGACAAACAGACACGGGGACGGCAGCCATTACTCAAGGGCGTATCCGCGCATCTCCTTCATAGCTCCTCGTGTCTCCTTCTCCCCACGGGTATCCGTGTCACCGATGTGCTCGCCTGTGTGTGCATATTCTTGTATGCGCATTTCCCTGCGGCTCTGTGTCCCTGCACTTTTGTGTACCCGGGTACATGACCCGTGTGTCCCTGTGTGTGTCCCCGTGTGGAGAGCGGTAGGGTAACGGTTAGCGCGCTGCGCTACGAACCTGGCGACCCAGGTTCGATTCCCGCTCACTGTCAACACCAGTGACGAATATCTGAACCGGTCATGGGCCTCCCCCTAGGTCGACTCAGCCTCAAATGAGTATACCTGGTGCGGTGTGTAAACATCGGCATGAGAAAGACAAAGGCGGTCGGGCGTAGTGTTGGCCACCCACCCTCTTGTGTACCGTTGCGGACTTCATAGGTGCTCGCTAACACCACTTGCCCCTGTTAAAGACTAAACGGAGGATCTTTGTCTTTGTCGTAGTGGATGTGCGCGTACCCGGGTATAGGACCCTGGTGACGCGGGGATCCTGCTCCAGGAAGATGGCGACCGCCTTTGCCGAGTGGAAATGCTGCTTCATGCGCACGGGCAGCGTCTTGAGCCCCCGAGACACGAGGAAGCAGTCAAAGGGGGACGGCACGGCACCCACAGCTGGAGATGCACGGGGGACAAGCAGACGCACACAGAGAGACATAGGAGATACTTGGTGAGACAACGGGGATACACGTCGAGATGTGGAGACACTCTTTGTGACGCGGATATAAATAGTGAGACACACAGGGAACACACACACACACACAAGGACACACGGTGAGGTTGGATACACATCTTAGGATAGGAACAGGGGAAACTCAGAGACATGGGGATGTGGAGATGTAAGGAAATGAAGAGAGGCGCAAACAAAAATACACGGGGATACATGGAAACACGCTGCGAGGACACACAGAATGCATGACGACATAGGGACATGAGAACACACAGACAAGGGGGAAGGACACTACTTCTACGGGTGGAGACATGGGGAGAGAAAGACGGAGAGACGTGGACAGAGACACAAGGAGACAGAAAGACATGGAGGCAGGGACACGAGGTGCTGCTCACGTACCATTCTGCAGAAACTTGAGTTTCTCAAACACATCGTCTCTATTGAGAGAGACGAGGCCCATCACCACATCACTGTGACCTGAACCACATCAACACCGGCGACATCAAAGTCAGACGCCATCAACATCACCACATGACCGTCATATCAACAACTTCTCCACGTCAGTGTGACGTCACCATGAACACCATCACCGCGCGCCAATGCAAGAGAGTGCAAGGTGGCATGGCTCTGTGGGATGTGCTGCTGCGTGCATTTCTCACCGTTCATGTACTTGGTGGCGGAGTACATGCAGAGGTCAGCACCCAGCGACAGGGGGCGCTGCAGACACACAGAGACACGGGGACACGTCGCTGGGACACATGTGGGCAAAGGGACAGTGGCAAGTAGACACAGGAATACGTCACACATCAACACAAGGACACACAGAAAAGATAATGTGTACGGCACAGGTATGCGAAGAATTTAGGATATGAAGACAAATGTCACATGAACAGAGATGCAATTCACATGGGGCCACACAGACATGGAGCCAATGAGTGCTACAATGAGCCAAGGAGACATGGAGAGAAGAGATACAGAGACTTGGGGACACAATCACATACACAAAGTCCCAGGCAAAGGCAAATATATAATGAGAAATAAGCGTGGACACACAAAAGCACGGGCCACTTGGGGCAAAGACAAAGACTTGAGGACAGACAGACATAGAGGCACGGAGCCCAGAGCGCCAGTCAGAGACACAGGGACACGGATGCACAATGATACGGACCAAGAAGGAGACACACCGACTTGAGGACACAGAGAGAAATATAGAAACACGTAGACGTGGGAACTCTGTGATGAGACATAAGCACACACCACCCTGACGTGTGGGGAGAGAGAAACGTGGAGATGGGAACACAAAAGACACAAGGAGACACAACACTGGGGAGACACAGACAGTCAGAGACACAGACACGGGGACAGAGGGACACAGACACTGGGGAGACACAGAGAGACAGACACGGGGACAAAGGGACACAGACACTGGGGAGACACAGAGAGACAGACACGGGGACAGAGGGACACAGACACTGGGGAGACACAGAGAGACAGACACGGGGACAGAGGGACACAGACACTGGGGAGACACAGAGAGACAGACACGGGGACAGAGGGACACAGACGCTGGGGACAAAGGGTCACAGACACTGGGGAGACACAGAGAGACGGGGACACACACTCACCTGGAAGTAGGCCGACATGAAGGTGTTGTCAACGACGAGGAGGATGTCACCCTTGGCATGGACGACATCAGCGCAGGCACGGATGTCGAGCACCTTGAGCAAGGGGTTGGTGGGGCTCTCCACCCATACCATCTACACACAAAGACAAAGATCCTCCCATTAGTCTTAACAGACTTGAGGTGGGCAGCTGCTGTTAGCGAGCACCTATGAAGCCGGCGAGGCACACGAGGGGGTAAAATGGTCAGCACCACGCCCGAACGGCCTTGTCGCCCCAATGCTGATTTCTACACATCGCACCAGGTACTCATTTAGCCCAGGACTGGTTCAACTATTCATGACCAATGTTGGCTGCCAGCGGGAATCGAACTTGGGTGGTCGGGTTCGTAGAGCAGTGCGCGAACCAATACACTACTGCTCCCTACCAATACACACACAGCACATTGAGTAAGGGGTTAATGGGGCTACATATACACCTGCTCACACAGACACTCGCCCACACACGCTCATCCACACACCTGCTCACTCGCACACCTGATCACCCACACTGGCTCATACACCTGTACACTGTGTGCGCTCACATACCCGTGTATTGGGTTTGATCGCCGCCTCCAAAGCCGTGAGGTCAGAGCAGTCGACAAAAGACACTTGGATGCCCAGGTTAGCGGCAACTTGCCTGTAATACCTGTTCGTACCTGTGCCGCACGATACACACAGATACATAGACACAACAACACACAAAAGACAAAACACAGACGCACACACATACACACTTGCATATGCAAACACACAGATACAGACACATACATAGACACACAAGTATCCACTTGCACACACAGGCACATGCAGTATAAAACAAAGACAAAACAAAGATAAAGAGCCACATAAATAGCCTTGAGCAGATTACTTGGGCAAGTGCTCTTCGCGATCACCTACGAAGGTCCGCACAGCACACGAGGGAGGGTCTCGTCGGCACAACACCCAGCCGCCTTTGTCTCCCCAGTGCTAATCTTAAGGTTGAGTTGACCTACCTAAGGCCCAGGACTGGTTCAGATATTTGCCACCACAGTTAACCGTGGTGAGGTTTGTAGCGCAATGTGTGAACCCCCCACACAACTCATCCACAAACACACACACAGACACACACACAGACACACACACAATAGTGACAAAGAGAAAAATCCCCCATATAGCCTGAACAGACTGTTGGGGCAAGTGCTGTTAGCGAGCACCTATGAAGGCCGGCACGGCATACAATGGGCCAAGAACAATACAGACACATGCATAGATATATACTCACTCACACACACAACACAGGTGAGATCACAGCCCCGTGTGTACAGGTGAGTGAAGAAATCTATCCAGCTTCAATGAGAACCCTGTGCTTACGTGGAGTCATTTGAAATGCGAGGTGCTGATGAGGAGGAAGTGGAGAGGTGGTGATTGTGATGAGTAAGGAGATGATGGGGAAGTGTGAGGTGATGGAAATTGGGAAGTGGTGGTGAGGAGGATGAGATATGAAAAACATGAGATTACGGTTATGGTCAGGTGGAGATGATGGGTTATCAAGGTGGCGGATGATGAGATGGTAATGATGATGATGATGAGGAAGTGATGGTTATGAGGAGGAGGTGATGATCGTGATGAGTCGGCGTCAGCGATCAAGAGGCTTTGGCGAGGTGTGGCGAGGGTCCCAACCTCCGTAAACGTCGTCCATGCAGATGACGCCGTCGCCGGCCTTGAGGAGGTGAGTGACTGTCACGGTCGCGGCGAGGCCCGATGAGAACGCCATAGCTGAGACGCACACAAGGAGACACAGAGGAGACACGCACACATGTACACACAGGGACACTCACAGGCACATACAACGGCAACGATCCCCCTTATAGCCTTAACAGACATTTGTAGAAAGTGCTGTTAGTGAGCAACTATGAAGGCCAATACGGTACACGAGGGGGTGGGTGACCAGCACAACACCCGACTGCCTTTGGCTCCCCAGTGGCGATGTTTACACACCGTAACCAGGTACTCATTTGAGACTGAGTCGACCTAGGGCAGGCCCAGGGCCAGTTCAGATAATTGTCACTGGTGTTGGCCGTGAACGGAAATCGAACCTGGGACACTGGACATATTAATTATGCATCGAATATACATTAGATAATTATATTACTGACTATGAATATTCATTAATGAGGTTCTTGCCATATTTGGCGCCATCCAGGGTGGCCACGGCCTTCTCCAGGCAGTTCCTGGTGGGATTCCCACTCCTGCTGTACTCAAAACCCTGGAAACACACACGTACACACACACACATAGACAATGTTTATATACATATGTAAGGATGTCCCGTGTAGCCTTACAGATTGTTGGGGCAAGTTCCGTTAGCGAGTACCTCATATAAGGCTTAAGTGATGCACGAGGGGGTGGTGATGCCAGGACGACACACTCGCCACTCAATTGACCCCGAGTCGATCTAGCGCAGTGTATGAACCACACACAAAGACAAAAATCCCCCTTATCGCCTGAATTGACTTTTTGGCAAGTGCTGTTTTGAGCACCTATGAAGGCCGACACGGTACACGATGGGGTGTGTGACCAGTACCATGCCCGACGGCCTTTGTCTGCCCAATGGCAATGTTTCCACACCACTGAAGGTACTCATGTGAGGCCGAGTCGACCTAGGGGAGGCTCAGGACCGGTTTAGATAATCGTCACTGGTGTTGTCTGTAAGCAATCGAAATCGGGTCGCCAGTGCAGTGTGCTAACCACTACATTACTGCTCCCCACACACACATATACACACCATCATTATTATTATTACAAAGGCGGGCCCCGTCAGAGCCAGTAAGGCATTCTCTGCTGGCCTAGAGATTGTCAGAATCAGAAAATAATATTTTTTTAATTTTGTATATATTTTCATTAATGCTATATGTATTTTACAAAGTTCGTTCACATCAGTCTATTAACGTCATTTCATTGCTACTCTCTCCCTCAGTTGTGCTGCTTCCAGTGCAGCTCATAAATTAGAGGTTTTATCCAATCAGATGTTCCACCTGTGCTGTCTCCGGGTGAAAAATCTACCCTGAGGCCTTCAAGATTTCTAGTGAATCCCCTCTGCTGTTGAAGCAAATGGGGACGATGTTGTTGATTGCCATGTCTTTAACCAATCAGATGTCGAGTTTGCCGTGTTGGGTGTATTCTTTAACCAATCAGATGTCGAGTTTGCCGTGTTGGGCGTGTCCTTTGACACGCCGGAGCCCTCTAGCTGGCCTAGCCGCCTACGTCAGCATTTTTGGTGTGGCATGATCGGAGAGCCAGTTAGCTAACTGAAGTAAAATTAGCTAGCACGTAACGTAGCATCATCTAAGACTTATTTAAACTTTATTTTGTGACGTTTAGATTTTTAGATGTAGTGCTTTAGATTTTATTTTGTGGGGAAGCCTGTTGAATCCTGATTGTGTTGTGTTTTACGGCATTTTTGCTTGCTTGGTGGTCGTATGAGTAAATGTGACTGGTTATTGTGTTTGTTCTTGTTCCTTTAGTAATGACATTGATTTGGGCTATGCGATGTATATTTGTGATGCAGCATCCTGTCATACTGCGTAATAGTGGTACATCCTTGATGGTTTCAGTCACCATGTATTCATGTCTCTGCAATTAGTGTATTTTAACTCCCATAGGTGTTGAGCCTCGTGTTAAATTACTTTATTCCACTCGATAAAGGTTACTGTCACTGTGAATATGGGGTGGTTACGTCGAATGACAACAGCCTATAGCCCTAATGTCAAGGTGAGGTTATTCGAAGGCAGTTTAATTGCGGGAGGATAGCACTGAAGGCCTAGGTGTAAAATACACGGACCGCCACTGCACACCGACACTAATTATACACAAATACACACAACCTACTGCTGCTGTATGGGCGGTAACGTGGCCTAGTGATAGCGTGTTAACTGCTTGTTGCAGAGGTTACCAGTGGACGCCATTCACAAGAGTAGGTAATTGTCTGCTGGCGTCAGGGTCCAAATTCGAAAATTACTCGCAAATTACTAAATTGAGATTATACATTGCAATCATATCGTCTCCTACTGGCAGACTGAATACCCAAGTCACTCTTGCAAATGAAACCATCCTGGCCTCTTGAATTCTCACCTGGTTAAATCAAAATAACGTGAAACGTGTACTCGCACATATGTAATAACGGACTTAGCCACGTGAACCTGTCTCCTCCCTCACACCACGTACCTTCGAACCTTCCAGATCTCGCCTCGCCATCGCGCCCTGCTGGCTCCGCCCCTAGGTTCCGCCCCCACTCACCTCGCTTCCGATTGGACCCGAGGTGAGCAGGGACCTTAACATACGCCCACATACTGGCTCCGCCCCCCAATACCCCAGCCCATGTGATTGGCCCAAAGGCCAGCAGCGAACCCCGCTTGCGCTCGCATTACACATATACAAATTATGCAAACACTACTGACCATTGGGAAAAGTTAAGTGAGCTTGGCCAGGATACCTGACTTGGAAGAAATGATGGCCGTCAGTTGAGACTAATGATGATGACTTTGCCACTCAAAGGTCGAAACACACCCGAGAGGATGCCCACCATGGAGGTAGAACCATGAAGTCGGCTTGTGTGCATGAGCATTGCAAGACTGTGAGATGACAATGATGACATGTCTCGGACTGTGTTCGTGAACATAAGGCAGATCTGAAACACGGTAGGGCCAATACCTCGGCCGTGGCTGATCATTGTTTTAATGCGGTGAGCTCAAATTTTTTTTTCTCTAAGACGAAGGTACTTTGCAAACCCACTGGCTATCAACAAAGATTCGTTCATGAAGCCATCCATATATTTAGACACAGACACCATTTCAACCGAGAAGTTGGGTACAAACTGAGCAATCATTGGAAGGACGTTATTAACCAGTTTAAGTCTGAACTGGCTGTGATGTTCCCATCCTACCACCTTCTGATGTTAGTTGTTAATTTCAGCTCTCGGATTTTTTTTACATTAACAGATTACATTTCTGAATAACACGCTACCTCGCGCGCCATCCTCGAAGCTGCTGCTGCTTCACGATCTTAACATGCTAATCTCTCACATTAACATGCTAATCTCTCACATTAACATGCTAATCTCTCACATTAACATGCTAATCTCTCACATTAACATAGCCACCTTGGCACACTCGCCATGGAGGACGCTCAGCGATCTTGCATTGACATGCTAATTTTTATATTCTGACATGCAAATTTTTATATTCTGACATGCTAATTTTTTTATTCTTTGGGTCTTTCGGTAAAGCCCTTTCATTGGTGGAGAGCCCACCACCGCCGCGGTCGCTGCCCACCACTTGCATTGGCACTGGCTGCTGACATTTGGGCTACGTCCATTTCAAACCTTTATAAGCAGTTTGTCTTTAGAAGCTAACCCCCTTTTCCTGATGACGACCGCTTGTGTTGCGATCGAAACGTCGTAGTTTTTTGTTATTTTCTTTGAACCTATCTATATGACTTTACCAAAAGACCCAAAGAATATGAATTCCTGCAGTCACGAAAGCTTTAAGTCAAGATTTAATGATGATGACTTTGGGAGGTCTTCATCCAGCAGTGGACATATTATGATTGGTGATAAAATGCACACACACACTGGGGGGGGGGGGGGGGGGGGGGAAACCATCTGTACACAATGTGGGATTGTATGCCTGGTCATCGGGGCTTTGGACTATAGTGTACAACAGGAGGGAAAGCAAATCTCTCTTGAAAGAGGATCAAGGGAGCTTAACGTTCATGATGAGCAAATAATGGACTGAACAATGGCATCTTTGTTTGGGCACTCAACTGGTGCCAACAAAATAAACCCATTGCCACGCCATTGGTTGTTGAGCCATTAGTTGAGTGAGCACACTTGGATGATTGGAGACCTATCCTGATTGGGCGAGTCCTGGTTGGGCGAGTCCCGATATAAATGCAGAGCCAGGCCAGAGTGAGACGGCCGCGGGTTCAGCACCATGGACAGAGGTGACAGTGTCATGACAGAGGAGAAGCATTTGCTTGCTACTCTTGAGAAAGGCTTTGACATGCTTTGTCGTTGTTTAGCATCATTACGACGAACAGAGGCAGGTGCAGCATTTTGAGTTTGTGGTGTCTCATGCTGGAGCTATACAAGCCGATGCCCCCCCCTCCCCCATCACTGGCTGGGCTTGCGTTGTGCATTCGTGTGTATATGTACATCTCTATCTTGAATGTGCTGCTGGATGAGGGCCTCTCCATTACACGTGGGTCGTGGGGAGTATTTGGCCATACTTCATGCTGGTCTGTGTGGGTTGGTGAAGATGGGCATCATAGAAATAGGAGAAGTATAGCACAACAATGGACGTTTCTGCATTTCCCTCTGCTGTTCTTATATGCGGTATCATATAACATGTTGCTTTGGGTGATTTAGTCATAGGCAGTGGTACACGTAGGCTATATTTTGGTATATGTTGAGTGGAGGGGTAGTGCAGTGGTTAGCGCACTGCAGCTTGAACTTAGCGAGCAATTTCTGAAATGCCCTGGCCCCCCACCCCTTCGCTGATCAGCGTGGCAAAGTATGGTCAACCAACCCCCATGATGACACGGCATGGGGAGGACTTCAACCAGCAGAAGACTGTAGCCTGTAAATTTTATTGTAGCCTGTAAACATTTTAAAATGGTGATACATAATTAATTGCCAAAATAAACTGGCAAAGGACAGGGCATTACAGGGACCTTGAGGCCCTTAGTCCACAGTGGAAGCATTCAGTGGCGAGCACCTCTGAAAGGCGAGGGGCCAAACGGTCGCCTGTAGTTCAGAACTGTGTGTATACGAGTTGTGACAGCTGTATGCATTGGCTCAGCTCTGCGAGTGGCTGTGTGGTGCCAAATTTCACTGCCAAGCTTGAGACATAGATGGCATTGTGACGCACGCACACGCACGTATCATGTACGTACATAATACATACACGGATTGTAAACACAACCCACTCCTGCTGTACTCGCAGCCCTGCTTTCGTACATACACACACACATATACAAACACTACTCACTTATGCATGGGACCTTTCTTGCCAGTATCTAAGTATAAGAATAGGTTTTACTTTTTCATTGCCAAAAAGGATAACACCTATTTTTATACTACTCACTTAACTACGAGAGCTGGCCAGGATATTGCTAAAAGGATGATGGCCGGCGGTAGAGGCTAATGATGGAATGGCAGGCAAAGGTGGAACATGCCGGATAACACGTTCACCGTGGAGATGGAGCGATGAAATTAGCTTGTGTGCAGGAGTTAGACGCCAGTCATTCTGCCAGGCTTAGGACACGGATGGCGCTGTGGCACGCATATTACTCATACATGCATATGCAGTACATAGACACACTACTGCTGTAATCACTGCCTTGCATTCGCATGTATACATTTTCACAACCCTTTGTCAATCCACTGCTGGGTGAAAGTCTCCCCACACCATGTTCGTCACAGTGGTTGTTTAACCATACTTCACAATGCTGGTCAGTGTGGATTTGTGAAGAAGGCACCCAGGATAATTGCTGATGCCACTCCACTGATGTTCGCCCTGGCTAGAAATAAAGCTCGTGCAAGCAGCTTCGTAACGCAGTGCTCAAACCACTTGTTCAGCATTCCCTATACACATAAACACTCGTGAAATACGATAATACACTATAATTGTACACATAATAAAGTAAAAACATATAAAAGACGCCGCATATGCGGCACGTATGCACAATAACACATTCATAACTTAATTACACAAACTCAAAATAGAATAATAATGCAAACACCCAATGTCACAAGATGTACTCGTCCACCTTGCATAATTGCAGGAAATAATTACCTATTCATAACCACACAAAACACATCAATTATAGTGGAAACACCCACACACAATTTTATCAAGAAAAACTCGCTCCGTACACCTGCCCGCTTAGCACTGGCATAACTGAGAAAAGGCCAACACCCAGAGAAAGAGCAGTTCCATGAATTTGGACACAAATTTGGAACACTTTGAAAGAGATGCGAGTAATCATCGGTATAATCACGAAGTGGCGTAGCGTGTTGACCAATTAGGACTGTGATTCAGAGAGAAATAATTTGTCTACCTTTTTTGATGAAGGGATAAATACTCATCTAATGCCGCGGTTTCAGAATTACCAAAACTGACCGTTTTACGATCCACACTGGAATGGTGATGGTGCATTCAATTTCGCGTACGTTTTTAAAACTATTAATATATCCCATAAATAAACTATATTTCCTAAAACTATAGGTAATTACCTTCAGAATTGTTTTCAATATGGATAATTAGGGTGATTTTGAAGCTGCGAGATTGCCTAATTCGTGGAACTGCCCATGAAATAAATAATAGGCTAGAAAACACTGCATTTTAATGGTGAGGGTACAAGTATCTGAAACTATAAAGATATAACAATATTTTGCATATGATGTAAGATTCCCAAGAACAGTGTTACTCGGAAAACCGGCAGTACAAACAGATGTTCACACAGAAAAACACGCAGACAGATGAACGACTGCACACACAAACACAAACGTGCACTAAAAACCCAAAAGGATAAATAGTCCCAAGTTGATGCACACTTTACTGCAACTGTTATGATTATTTATATGGATAGTGTCATGCATAAAGAGTGGCCCGACCTCTCCGAATTCTGCTAGTGAAGCAGAACCAGTACAATTCTTCTTATTTCTTTCGTATGGCTGATGTTGATGGAGAGCAAAAACTACAATTTCACATGCAGGCGGTCAAGTCGGACAACCCGTCAGGAGCAGCTGAGTGTATACACTGTGTTCTTTTAATAATTAATGTCCATGAATAAAACACAGAAAAGCACAGTCACTGTGAGCATTTTATTAACATGATCAGATTAAGCATTTGGAAACTACCCACCCCCTCAACAGCAAACGCTATCATCTATTGCTGACGGAGCAAAACCACTGAGATTGGCTGTGATACCAGGAGTTCAACTCGGGGGCCCACATGCGGGGGGGGCTGTACCATTTTCCTGAGGCCACGGTTACACAGTGACAAAGTCCTGTGTGTGGGGGAGGCATCCAGTCACAAGAGCTGCGTGTGTGGGGAGAGATTGGATCAGTGGCGCATTGGGTTATCGCACTGCACTACGAATCCAGCGAGCCGAGTTGAGATTCCCTGCCACAGATAACATCAATGGTAAGTGAAATGAGAAGCTTCTTTGGCCTCCCCTAGGTCGACTCAGCCTTAAATGAGTACCTGGTGGTGTGTGTAAACATCACCATTGGGAAAACAAAGTTGTGCTTACCACGCTATTCTCTCAAGAGCCGAATGGCTCACAGGGCTATACCATGAAATAAAACTCTCATTATTTGTGCCAGTTGTTAACCAATGCTTGGTAACCAACTTTACCCCAACAGACTCATTATTGAACAGTTTGCCCGTTACTCATCATTAAGCAATAGGTAACTATTCATACGTGAATTTAAAACTTTTCATCAAGATTAAAAAAATATATATTATTCTTATTAAGCCGCATGATGTATGGTGCATTTCCTGTTCAATATCTCGCAGGCCTATTAATTTACAATGAAAAGGGGCTATTGAACAAAACGTCGCCGATTATATAATTTTCCTTTTGAGGCAGTGTTATTGTCGAACGTGTTGAATTTGTTTTGTTATTTATACAATACGGATATGTTGGGATTTTTGTTGTTTAGCGTAGGTGACGAGGTAAGTGTTTACGAGACAAAACAGCTGTGTGGTTGGAGGGCTATGTGTGGGTGTGTGTTTGTGTGTGCACTCTGAATGGATGATTTTGTGGGAGGATGTGTGCATAAGTGTATGGGTGGGTTTAGGTCAGGGGTCAGTAAGCAAAATAACAAGAAGAGACCTTTTTTTCCAAATTCGGTAAAATAAAAAAACCCTCAATATTTCAAGAGCCGCGATGCAAGTCCTAAAAACGAGACGGAGGCTCTTAATAAATAACATCACGAAGCAACCCCTAAAGAGACGCAGATTGCCTACCCCTGGTGTAGGTGAATGGGTGAGTGAATGGGTGACTGTGTGCGAGTACTGCGAATTGAGGATTGTGTGGATGTGTCCATGAGTGCGTGGGTGTCCGTGTCCGTGTGTGGTTTCATGGGCGCGTCTGTGGCTGAATAAGCGAGGCTGTGTGGATGATCACATGTGGATGTGTGTAGCTAAATGGGTGTTTGTGTAAATGTGTACATGGGTGAGTGGATGATTGAGAAGGTTGAATAGGTGAGTTTGTGTTGTAAATGGCTGATTATGTGGTTGAATATTTGAATGAGTGGCTGTGTCGGTGGGAGAGTGTATACATAGCACATGTGTGTGTAGATGTGTGTACATGTTTCGTTTGGGGAGAAGTAGTGCAGACAAACTTGAGATGCCGTCAAAATTAAACACTTTACAAATCCATTCGGTGTGAGTCAACTCCCACATCAATTCGATGCCATGTCAGTCATGATTATCAGTCATTCATTAAAATAGCTGTCTTTTTTGTATTGTTTCGTGTGTTTTTCTACTTTGTACAGGTTTATTCAGGCTTCTTAAGCGTAAACAAAACTTTGGCATATCATTTGCACAAATAGTAAATAATCAAGTCTCACAAACATGATACTAATCGTGTAAGAATCGATGTTGACTAATGAATGGGTGGATCGTTACATTAGGTACTGTATACATACATGTGTTGCATCATCAGGGCTCTCTTCCCCAGCAGAGGGGCAGAATTCAAACACGTGGCATTATTCCCACTAAGGTCAGAGCCAATATTAAACATGTTACATGACAGGGGTGACAATTTGATTAAACATTTCGGATCTTTTTTTCTTTCAGTACTTATAAAGATGATGTCACACGACTCAACGGCTTTCGGTGGGGAAAGCACGGATGTTATTTCACGAAATGATCTCACGTCGCATGATATTGCATTTTAGAATCAATGAAAAAAAACAATTCAGATTTTTCCAGGCGAGTTCCAAAATCGTAAACACATCCCTACACTATTCCCACTTGCTTAGGGAAATATACAGTATTCACACTTACTGGTAGTGTAATACGAAACAAATAATTCATTATCCACGCTTACTGGGGGGCATATCACGTCGAGGTCTGCTGATGAGACTCAAGGAGAAGTGAAAACCACTCCATAGTTTGCTGCTGAAACGAATCCTACCGGGAATGTTTTGCAGATGAGACAGTCCCTTGTGTAATATATCACATCCAACACACAGTAAGCATACACACCTGGCACAAACTCTCACAAATTCTGGTTACGTAACGATGCATGGATTTATGAATTAAACTGGATTCCTAAGCTACATTTTTTCGTATGGCATTTGTAAAGCAACCGACCGAGGAACTGTGTACTATGTTGAATGGGGAAAGCCATTTGGTGGCATCTGGGCTCACCAGATGGATGACATTTCTACCTCCTGCAAAGTGTTGTGTTGGGTAATGATTGGCAATACGAGTGCTGTTTCTTTACACTTCACCGGTCACAATCACATTCCCTAATTCACCCCCACCCCCGTTGTGGAGGTAAGCTGCTTTTGGCCGAACACAGACGAATACTCAAGTACCCAGATGCTTAATGTAGATAAATACAGAGGAGAGCTGGTGACACTGATGTCTGCCCCTAGTGGACATCTGCGAAAAAGTGCTTTATAGTTCATCGGATTCCTCCAGAATAAATATTTAGGTTCTGAGTTTGTGGTCCTTCCCCACCACCTCCGATTAGTAAGGTTGGCAATGTACGGTGCGAAATAATGTCAACATATCAATAAAGAACTGTATTGTATTACAGATGTTGCTGCACTGCCCTCTATCCACCAACACAACTTCAATATCAGATGTTTATAAAAGTGCTTGGTTGGGGGTTTTTTCTCATCACATGGATTCATAGGAAAGTAACTACGTGTTTAAAAGTCCCTAACTTGGGTACCCCGGGTGATCCATTGAATGATTTAAGTACCAGATGCCAGAGTACACGATGATCACCCAGGTAGACAAGTGTTTGATGATCAGACAGATGAACAAGTATCCGATGACAACCCATGTGAAAAAGTGTCCAATGATCACCCAGATGTTCCAATTCCTGACAATGAAACAGATGTTTCAAGTGCCCGGATGTGGGCGTCTCCCAGAGGTACGCCCCTCCCCCCAGCGACTGTCGCCCCGCCCCTTCACCCCCGCGCGCCCCGCCCCTCACCGCGTGCTCCCCGGGCCCCCGTTGCTTGAACGTGGTTGCCATGGAGATGGGCGGCACCACGGCCATGGAGTTCCATTGCTCGGGCTCTTGCCCCGCGTGCACCGCATCCGTGGCGAAGTGTGGGAAGGGCGGCAGGAAGGCATCCTCTCCCGCCATCGTCGCGTGCCTGCAGGCAGAGAGAGAGAGCCGCGCCGGGCAACGAAGCTCGAGGGCGACAAGAGGAAGGGGTGAATGAGAGAGATGACCGCGGTTATAAACACCAAGACGCGCGCCCATTGGCTGACACACCCCCTTAGGGGCGGGGCTTGGCGGGTGACGTCACTGGAGAGGGCGGGGGGGGGGCGTGAGGGATAGGGTCACAGTGAGGCAGGGTCAAAAGTTGGTGATGAGTTGGCAGATTTGAACACAAACACAACCCCGAAGTCCAACCCAGATGCTGGCCGTGACCCCCAGCCTTGATAATCTACACCATAAAACACTACTCCAGCGAATTATGATGACCCTATGTTCACTAACAGATATAAATCTTGACTTAACGCTCACCCCAACTCTCACCAATAATATGAACACGAAGCTTTTTTTCGAACCAATAATGTTTAAGCTAACCATAAATAACCAATAATGCTAGCACTAACCCTAACACTGCCATATTAACTCTAAGCTGAACTCCAAAGCATGTTAACTCTAACCCGTAAACTAATCCCTAACATACTCTTAGTTCTTTCGGTAAAGTCACGTAGGTAAAAAATGAAATTAAAATAAAACAATAATAATTATATATAATAATTAATTTTAATTTCATTTTTTACCTACGTGACTTTACCGAAATAACTAAGAGTGTGAATCCTTGCTGTCACGAAAGCTTCAAATCTAGAATTAATCCCTAACACCCAACTCTATCCCTCTGACTTTGGATCAACTTTGAGCTAACATTATGACTTGTGATTCAGTCCAAGAGTACTAAACCCATTCTCTCTCTTGGAAAGAAATTTGACATGTTTGCAGTACATATTATACATTTCTCTATTCACACAAGCCCATTTAAAACCCAAATTAAGGAATGTTAGCTGATGAGATTAAAACACCAGAGGGTGGTCCAGATGTCGTGACCTCCAATTCATTGACCCCTAACATGTTTTTCCTTTGCGCATTCATTTTTGTTTCAAATAAACCTTACTTTAAAAATATTTAACTTTTAGATAATTAAATGGGGGTCACAAGACATTTAGACCACCCTGGATAATGTACATCTATACTGAAGACAGCCGAACATATGTTGTCTAAAAATGGATGTCATTGAAAAAGTTATAGTGGCTGATATGGGACTATGACCTAACCTAAATTCTCACATTTTGTATTTTGTCTCGAATAGGAAGTACATTTTGGTAATCATTTAACCCGGTCTTTTAACGCGAGTCTCAAATTTGACATTGGTTCACGGTTATCCGAATTGTTTTCTGCTCCAGAGAACAGTAGGTCAAATTCCAATCATTTAGGCACTGCTTTAGATACGAAGGACCGTTTAAAAAAGAACCATTACCGGAATCGTAATGAGAATCGTTGCTAATTTACATACGCGGCCGGACTTTCAACCTGGCACCCGCCATGCCCCCAAACTCTGCTGATGCAACATTTTGTAAACCTTCCATCACTAGGGGCGTTAGCCAGGGAGTAACCCACATTTTTCTATTAGGCATGTAACGATGTGGGTGGATGGAGGCATCGGTTCATCATTTCAAATGTGCTCATGCGTGAAATAATGCGTTTGGAAAATATTTTTTTTATTCCAAAAATGCCAAGAATCGAATTGGTCGTACGAGTGTGAATTTTGGTCAAACATGATACTGCCATTGCGTCATTTGGTGACTGAAAACTTGAATTGTTACACGGATTAGTATTCCGTTTATCCAGTTTCCTAGCTATTCCACAAGGTGAGATCAGTGGTGCCTGACACCAGCGACAATAAAATAATGACAAAACAATCAATGTTGCAGAGAACGAACGAGTACAGGTCCCGTTAGGAATATTGTACAACGACCAAATTAACTATTTAACACTTTAGTGTGATCAGCACAACACTTGGGGTCAGGTGGCTCGTGAAATCTGGTGGCTCCGAGTTCAAATCCTCGTTGGGGGTTGACTCAGCCACTATATGTACCTCTGGGCTGAATACAATGGGTAACCACTTTGTGGGGAAATCCACAGTGATGACCAAATTTTCTATCTACGTGACTTTACCGACAGAACCAAGAATGTATATAGTGATTACCATAATTCACAAACTCGTCCCACGACATAGGAATGAAGATTTTCTACCACTGGTTGATTTCCTATTCACAGCCGTAAATACAACTACTTTGTTTCATCAAACCTACGTATTTGTTAACATTATACATGTTTTAACGATTGAGAACCAAAGGCATACAAGGCTGCAGTAAAGGTTAAGAACCACTGCTTGAGAGGAACACTGGTCAACAAAAAAACTATTCTTGCCTGGACTATTGCAGTTGTTTTAGACTTATTTCATGGTGCTGATTCCAAATCTGATCTCAGATTTGCTCTATCACATCTCATTTTATGCTATCGGCATACCCCATTTTAATTGATTTTACCCAAAATTAACTCTGTTACTTATGATTGCAAGTTGTTGCGAGTCAGTGACTGCTTTAGTGTTAAAATATGGTGCTGTATTTTTAGGATAGTGTGTTTATAATAGAATTTTATGTACATATCCACATTTATTTAATATTTTTCTTCTGCAGTTTTTATTGAAAATGCAATATTTGATATCTCAAAAACCTGAGTGATAGACAAAAACTGATGCCAGATTTGGAATCAGCACCCCAAAATTACATTAAAACCGTTGAAATACTTTATGCCAGAAAAAGTGTGTTGAGCAGTGTTATAATCGTAAACAAAGACAGCCTCGAGTTATTGAAATACTTGGACACAATACAATCAAACGATACAATCAAACGACGTCTCGACGTCAGCATTTGCTCCACATGTCATCGGAAAACCTGATTTTCACGTTGCACCATCAATCGGCCACCCCATAGCTTCTCTTCAACCAGTGTGGTTAGTTTTTTTAATGGAGATAATTCGGGGAAGAACCCGACTTGTAAGCAGTAAATATGTCAGATTTTAAATCTAATGAAAGAACTTGCTTGGCCTGTTGCGTTTACAATAAGCTGATTAAATCTGATGGGACGTGAATTATTTATAGTTTTCGTGTAGTCAGGGGTTACGGATTGGGTGGTAAAGAGTTCGGAGTTAGGGATGAGGGTTTAAGGGCAGTCGTGCCTGCGAATGTTTTTCCTCCGCCCAATTTTTGCGGGACAAAGTAATTGCAAAACTCCCTCCCCCAGGCAGATGTGGCTTCACTTTACATACTGGGGCGAATATAATTACAGGATACATGCGTGTCAACCCATACAGTTTACCCGTGTTCTTGTACAGGGGAAATTGAGTATTCTTCCCTTGTGATGAGACTTTGTAGGATGAATGTTGAGATTTATAAGGGCACAGGGTGACCAATAAGGGGCCGTCCATAAATGACGTCACGCGATTTTGGGCGATTTTTGACCCCCCCCCCTTCGTCACACGGCGTCACAAAAAGTCAGACTCCCACCCTCAACTATGACGTCACAAAGCACTGCCCCCCCCCCCAAAATAAACCATGCTTCAAGTCGCTTTAAACTATTGTCATTGTAATGCGTATTTAATGTGGCGCTGCACTCCCCCCCCCCATAACCACCCACCTCCACCCCCCACTATTACCCCCCACAATCCCCCACCATCACCCTCCCCCCACCACAATCCCCCCCCCCACCACAACCCCCCCCCCACCACAATCCCCCACCATCACCCTCCCCCCACCATAATTCCCCCCCCCACCACAACCCCCACCATCACACCACCACCTTCACCATCACCCTCCCCCCACCACAATCCCCCCCACCACAACCCCCCCCCACCACAATCCCCCCCACCACAATCCCCCCCCACCACAACCTCCCTCCCCCCCACCACAATCCCCCCCCACCACAATCTCCCCCCACCACCATCCCCCCCCACCATCACACCACCACCCCCACCATCACCCTCCCCCCACCACAATCCCCCCCCCACCACAATCCCCCCCACCACAATCCCCCCCCACCACAACCTCCCTCCCCCCCACCACAATCCCCCCCCACCACAATATCCCCCCACCACCATCCCCCCCCACCATCACACCACCACCCCCACCATCACCCTCCCCCCACCACAATCCCCCCCCCACCACAATCCCCCCCACCACAATCCCCCCCCACCACAACCTCCCTCCCCCCCACCACAATCCCACCACAATCTCCCCCCCCACCACCATCCCCCCCCACCACCATCCCCCCCCACCATCACACCACCACCCCCACCATCACACCACCCCCCACCACAATCCCCCCCCCCACCACAATCTCCCCCCCTCCCACCACAATCTCACCACCACCACCCTCCCCTCCACCCTCCACCACCACCACAACCCCCCACCCCCCCGCACCCTCCGTGCCCCGAGACCGCCACCCTCCCCCCGTGCTCTTCCAGCCACCCCCAACCACCACCTCGGACCCCCGCTAACGTCTCCCCCCACTCCTCCTCCTCCTTCTCCTGCTCTCTCCAGCCCAGCCCACCCCAGCCCAGCCCATGGCGTTCCCTCTGCCCCGTCCGCGGCCCCCGGAGTTGCCGTCGCACCGCGCGCGGAGTCTGGCGTGCGGGCAGGGCGCCGTGCGGGCCGTGCGCTTCAACGGTAACAACCACCGCGCCGGCGGCGGCGGCGGCGGGGCCGGGGCTCTCGTCAAGCCCGCGGGCCGCTAGGATAGGCGCCAGGCTTCGGCCTGGTAATCCAGGGGGGTCGGCAAAACCTTCGCGACGTTATTCATCAAGGGACCACCGTCTCGTGTTCGCATGCGATCGTTATACTTTATTTTATTTACGCGATTTAAACCCCCCCTTCCCGAAAAACTATATTATGTGATGATATTGGGCGCGAACGCCTACGTGTTAAACATACTCTTTGGTTATTTCGGTCAAGTATGGGATCTCTGCAGTCACGAAAACGTCACTTCTAGTGTTACACATACTTTACTTTATTTACACTCGGCAGTCCTCTGATGTGAACAAATAGGCGGCGTGACTGCGGGACGTACTAAATGTTTGTTTATCGATGGCATGTGGTCCCGGCTATATGAATGTGCTAATTCATGTTGCTCAGACAAGACAAAGATTCCGCGTGTGTACATTGTAGGGGCAAGTGCTGTTAGCGAGCACCTGTGAAGGCCGGCACGTCACACGAGGGGGTGGGGTGGCCAGCACCACGCCCGACCGCCTTTGTCTCCCTCGTGGCGATGTTTACTACACACCGCACCAGGTACACACTTGAGGCCGAGTCGACCTAGGGGAGGCCCGGGACCAGTTCAGATAACCGCTATCGCTGGTGTGGGCCGTGACCGCTCCCCACACTAAGACAAGAGCGCATTGCACGTGTGTTTAACTTTCTAGAGACTAAATTTCGAGTTAAAGCTTTCGTGACTGCAGGGATTCATATTCTTGGTTCTTTCGGTAAAGTCACGTAGAAGGGAAATAATAAAAATAAAACAATAAAATTATCACGACGTTTCGATTGCAACACAAGCAATCATCATCAGGTGTGAAAACCACAGCAAGAAAAATTGAAAACCCGCCACTTTTTTCAAACTTTCTGGAGACTAAATTTTGATTTAAAGCTTACGTGACTGCAGGGATTCATATTCTTGGTTCTTTCGGTAAAGTCACGTAGAAGGGAAAGAATAAAAATAAAACAATAAAATTATCACGACGTTTCGATTGCAACACAAGCAATCATCATCAGGTGTGAAAACCACAGCAAGAAAATTTGACAACCCCCCACTTCTTTTCTAACTTTCTTGAGACTGTTGAGGCAAGTGCTGTTAGCGAGCACTTATGAGTGGCCGGTAAGGGACACGTCAGAGCTGGATGGCGTTGACCAACACCACGTCCGGCCACATTTGTCTTCCCCCAGAGCTGGTGTACAATATTTATTTAAGGCTGACAAGACCTAGGGGAGGTCAGCGCCGTTTCAGATAGCACCCGCCGCCGATGTTTGCCGTGTTCGGGAATCGAACTTGGGACGCCTAGTCAGTAGTGCAGTGCTTCTACTGCGAACCGAGGTACACCCACCCAGCCAGCACTAGTCGTGTTCACAGCTGGGTATATCTTTGTGCCCCCGTGTACCACGGCAGCTGACGGTTGTCTTTATGTCCGTGTCTGCCGTATGTCAGCGTGCTCGTGTCTCAGATTGTATGATGAACGACGCTTCGACGCTATGCCTCCGTGTCCTCCGTGTCTGTGCGATGCAGTGGATGGGAACTACTGTCTGACGTGCGGCAGTGACAAATCCCTGAAGCTATGGAACCCGGAGACCGGGAGGCTCCTTCACACGTACAGCGGACACGGATACGAGGTGCTGGACGCGGCTGGGTGAGACAACCTCTGTCCGCGTGTGCCCCTATTTCTATATGTGCCCCCATGTCTATATGTGTCCCCATGTCTACGTGTCTCAGCTTGTGCGATACTCTCAGCTGTCTCTTGTCTCTCCAAGTCCCCATGTGTCTCAGTTCATGTGGAAAATATCAGCTGACCTCATCTCCTTGTTTCTGTGTCTCCCTGTATCTTGTGTCCGCCTGTGTCTCAGCTCGTGTGATAACTCGCAGCTGACCTCGTGTTCGTCGGACAAGACGGTCGCCTTGTGGGATGTGGCCAGCGGACATATGCTGAGGAAATTACGAGGACATGCGGGGGTACGGGAGATACAGGGACATGGTCACACATGGGGTACATGGAGACACTAACATCCAGGGTTACAAAGGGGAGCTATCTGGACACATGGGGATATGGGGCCATGGGGGTAAGAGGAGAGACATGGGAACACATGGAGCTAAGGGGTTACACAGAGATATGGTAGAGGCATGAGTACACACAGGAGGACGGGTATTTGGAGAAATGGTGATATGTGTATGAACGTAAAAAGGGTCATTTGAACACACGGGGGGACTCTTGTCTCTTCTGTCTCTGTGTGATTGTGTCCCCACAGAAGGTGAGCTGTGTCCGCTTTAATGAGGAATCAACAGTCATTTTGTCAGGTATGGCACAGTCTCATGTCCAATGTCATCACGTGTGTCTCCACACAACGTACGTCCCCGTACCCATACGTTCACATGTCCCTGTGTCCCAGGCTCAGAAGCAATGTCGGCACTCTGTTTGCTGAGGTGGGCCCTGTACCACCATTTGTGCCTTTGGCGCACTCAAGTTTACGTTCCTTAGTGATGTATCACTGTTATGGTGGCCTACTCAACGACTCTACTGCTCCCCCTCCTCCCATTCAATAGGAGCTGGAGCTTGGCACTGCATGGAAGACACATTTAGGATGTGACTCATTGTGTGCCCGTGTTTCTACCTATGTTCCCATGTCCACGTGTCCCTGTGTTCCAGACTCTGAAGACATCCATGAGATGATGGATGTGACTGCTCATGTTTTGCGTCCCTGTAACCCCTGTTCCTGTGTACCCTGTCACAGGCTCGGAGGACACGTCTGTGCGGTGCTGGGATGTGAGGACACGCGGACAACGTCCCATACAGACGCTGAGCGAAGCCACAGATGGAGTCACGGGGCTGGATGTCACCCAGGGGGACATCATCACGGGGTGGACAACACACGCACGGGGAACACCACGGGACAACATGGGGGACACATGCTTCACGACTGCCAACCAAACTCAATCACTCAAACACACTCCACTCCCAACCATTGTCAACCATTAAAAACCATAACTGCACAACCGCACACTCAACTTTGCTTATCGACTCTCAACCATGCTAAACCCACTCAATCACAACCACACTCAGTCAACCATACACAGCCACACACCTGATCACTTAAGCACATTCAACCACTTAACTGTACTGTGGTCAACCACACTATGATGTTGTACATGGTAATGATAATAACAATAACGGATGTTAATAATGATGCTGATGGTGTTGTTGGTGATGGTGTGTAGGTCGGTGGATGGCCGGGTGAGGAGGTACGACCTCCGCATGGGTCAACTTCACACAGACTTTGTGGGCAGTGAGTGACCCGACCCCAGACCTAACCTGTCTTTGTAGAGCTTATTCTTTGGGTCTTTGGGTAAAGTAACGTAGATAGGTTCAAATTAAGCTTTTTGTGAGTGCAAATGTATGTATGTATGTGTGGGGAGCATTGACATGGTGATTCGTGCTCTGTGTCACTAACAGGATGACCTGGTTTCAATTTCCTGCCACGGGTAATGTCAGTGGTGAGCAATATAAATAAATAGTCCTGCGCACCCGCCAGGTCAAAGCCGCATAAAATAAGTACCAAGTGCAGTGTGTAAACAAATACCTCCTTGTGGACTGCTGGTCTTCAAAGGTACTCGCTAACAGCACTTGCTCCAACAGTCTGTTAAAGGCTATACAGGGGATATGTTTTGTTTGTTTGTAAATGAGTACATGAGTGTATGAGTGAATGTGTCATTGTGTTAGTGAGAAAGCATGCAAGTAACTTCATGTATGAGTTTTTGTATGTGCAAGTGGATATGTTAATGTCTGCATAGGACTATGCATGCTGTCGGCCCCGTGATGTTTGTGCCCATTATGTGAGATTGTCGTTGACGTGATACTCTTGTGTGTGCGTATATGTCTTTGTATTTGTCTGTGAGGAGCGGTAGTGTAGCGGTTAGTGCACTGCTATGAACGCGGCAACCCGAGTTCGATTCCCGGTTACGGCTAGCACCAGTGACGATTATCTGAACCGGTCCTGGGCCTCCTCTAGGTCGACTCGGCCTCAAATGTGTACCTGGTGCGATGTGTAAACATCGCCACGAGGGAGACAAAGGCGGCCGGGCATGGTGCTGACCATCCACCCCCTTGTGTGCCGTGCCGACCTTCATAGGTGCTCACTAAAAGTACTTGCCCCAACAATCTGTTTAGACTATGTGGGGAATCTTTATCTTTGTTGTATTTGTGTGTCTCCATGTTGACTAGGCCCTGTGGTGTGCGTGGCGATGACGCGAGACTCTCAGTGTTGCCTGAGCTCAGCCTTGGACTCGACATTGAGGCTCATGGACAATGACACGGGGGAGCTCCTCTCAGAGTACAGACATCAAACACCATCAACCCCATCAACATCCTCGTCACCATCCACATCACCATAAAAAAATCGATATCACCATCAATACCATCGTCAAAATAATCACCATCAAAATCGCCTCCATCAACATGAACACTAGTAACATAACCATCAATATCAACCACATCACCAACATCACTTCGATCAACAATAAAACCACTTTATCAACATAACCATCATCAATATCACCACCATTAACACCATCATCAACATTATCATCACCTTAAATACTATCACCGTCAACATAATCATCAACATCATTGGAATGACATGCGGTGCTCCTCAGGGTGGAGACACCACCAACTTTATCATGAACATCATTAAGACCAACCTCTATCATCTGTATCTGAGTTTCAATCTCTGTCTCAGTGTCTCAGTATCTGTGTCTCGGTATCTGTGCTTCTTGTTGAGTTGATATTTCTACGTGTGTTTGTCTCGCTGCTGCTGTGTCTGTCCCAGTGCTTCAGCATCTCAGTGTCTGTCTCTTCGCTTGTGTTATACCCATGAAAGCCTCACTTAGTCTCAAGACACTATTTCAGGAGGGGGGTGATGTTGCTGTGTGTAATATTAAATGAGTAATTTGCAGGTAATTTTTCAGCATTGGGATGTTTAGCCAATACTACCTACATTGTAGGTTTTTTTTTACTATGGGAGGAAACAGGAGAACCCGGAGGAAAACTATGCAGAACGGGGGGAGAACATACAAACGCCTCACAGAACGGCATCCAAGTCAGGAATTGAACCCAGGACCTTCTTGCTGTGAGGCACGAGTGTTACTGCTGTCCCACCCTGCTGCCGCCCTTCTCAGTGACTCCGTGTGTCTGTGTCTCTAGGTACACAGGACACGTGAGTGGACGCTATAGCCTCGACTGCGCTCTCTCAGAGCGAGACACCCATGTGGTGAGCGGCTCCGAGGATGGGAAGGTCTATTTCTGGGACCTCGTGCAGGTGATACCTCCTCATCACCACCTCCGCATCACTGCAACTATCTCATTTACATTGTCACCACAACCCTACATCTCCTCATCACCTTAGCACCTCTTCACCAACTCATGACACACCACATACCCCCTTATTACATGAACCACATTTGCATCCCCTCACTATAACTTCTCACAATCTCACCACCACCTCACATGTCACCACCCCCCTACCACCTCCTCAATACACCTCACCTCCCCCTCTCACTACCTACCTGCCACCTCTACGACCACAATAACTGTGGGAAGTCAACAATGGGCATCCTATGTTGAGACTGGCGCATGCCGTAGGAATGTGGAATTTCCACTGCCAGATCAGGTTCATGGGCGGAGATGAGCACTGCCCTGTGCCCACTTCAGAATCAGAATTGTTATGTACACTGGAGGAATACGATGAGCTATAAAGCTCTTTTTCACAGATGTCCAGTTGGGGTGGGTCATAAAGTTACAAAAACAAACAATACAAAAACACGATAGGAGTGCAAAGTATAGGAAAGGTAAGCATCAATACCTCATTACACCATTACCACCATGTTTTCTTATATCTCCATGTCACCATATCTCTCTGTCCACGTCTCTCTTGTGTCTGCATCTCCGTGTATCTTCCATACCTGTATCTCTGATGCCCTTGTGTCTACTTGATTGCAGGCCTCGCTCGCTCTCACTCTCGTCGTGGGCAGTGCAGTCGTCCACTCACTCTCGTTCCACCCGAGCAGCCCCATCCTTCTCACGGCGTCTGAGGGGACGGTGGATGTGTGGATGACGAAGAGCGACGAGGAGAAAGCCGAGGAGAAAGAGGGGGAAACATAGGGGCCACTGATCACAACTTGGACCACACTACACTTTATACCACAACGTATTACACCACAGAAACGACATTGGCTTATACTACACAACGCAGCATACTAAACACACAACACACACTATATTACACAAAATACTGAACTAAACTGTAAACTAAACTATTTTTTATTTTACTAGGAAGGGCCCACTGAGCTATATGGCTCTTTTTCAGAAGCGACCTGGCCACAAATGGCAGCTCAACGTAGTGGCTTATCATGTGGAAATTTATTGCAGCCAAATACTCGAAATGTATGTTTCTATATGTGGAGGGAAAACCGGAGGACCCTGGGAAAAATCCACTGGGAGAACATGCAAACTCCAAATTTCCGGGCTTCAAGGTCAGGATTAAACCCATGACCTGTATACGTGACAAGGGAGATAACATCTCACCACACAGCGTATACACTGTACTACACAACAGACAAATTATAACCTACACTATATATTATACTTCACAAAATTGGTCAACGGGTGGAGCATTTGTACAGTGGTTTGCGAACTATATTCTGAACCTAGCAAGCTGAGTTAGATTCCTGGCTTTGGCTAACATCAGTGGCCAGTGACATCTGAACCGAACGAGGGCTTGCACCACTACACACATTACACCACACAACGTACAACCTACACGACACATTATACTTCACTGTAAAACATTCAAAACACACTTGAACAGCAACAGCCCCCGTTTACCACGAAGCGCTTATGCCACGTTAGGTGCACGTTGAGGTTATGTGAAGTATCGAAGGCTTGCTGGCAGAAGCACAACCTGTTCTCCACTGGCACACGCTCCACGCACTACACCACACTATACACTATTTACATGTACATTCGTCTTTGTCAGTCCATTGCTGGTTGAGGTCCTCCTCATGCCTTACATGTCATGGGGCAGAGGGGGGTTTAATTGCATCTCATGCGCTGTTGGCTACGTAGGGTGCGAAAGAAGTTTAACATACCAGTGTGATATACATCGCATTGGTAAAGGGAGCATATTAATCCAATGGATTTTGCTGCACAGTCATCTGCTGCCCACAATATCCCTGCATGTTGCCGTTGAGCAATGTACGATATACTTTGTTTATACTGTGTTACACCAAACACCACGCGTTTTGAAATAAAAGTTTTTCATGTCATTTGGGGTCAGGCGGTTGTGTGGGAGGGTTATGACAATGGGGACTTTTACCACAATTTTTTACCCGCTGTGCTCTTCTGGGCGTTGTCAGGAGAACAAAGAATCAGCTATGAATGTTCATATTACAGAAGCGTTCGTGGAAGTATACATCACAGAACTACCTCTTGAGATCCCTTATAACTCGCCGATGTGTAACGCTAGGGGGCAGCGCTTTTCCCTCGGCCCCACTATCGAATCATGTTAATAGCAGGATAATAAAATAGATCAAATTCTCAGCTAAAATGTAGCCTAATTTATAGAGTAAAATTAAATGTAACGTTTGGGTTTTCGCCTAAAGTAATGTCTGACCGACTGGAGACCATCTCGCTACACTTGAGAACTCTGTTCAAGCACAGGCAGTTGCCTCAATTCGAACCCAGCCTCTCGGCGGTGTCTCGACTTGGCACTCGTGTCTCTTGAGCCATTTGACCAGTGGGGGGGGGCACGTCTTGTGTCGGCTCTGAACTTAGTCCAAAGGAGATGCGGGGTCCTCGTGAAGAATGATTCGCCTGTGTACGAGACACCGGGAACTCCTTTGATGAAAGCGCTGCCCGTGGTTTGCTGCAGACATTCTTGTGAAGACTCCGACCCTGTCTGGTCTGTATGAGATACATGAAAGGCTGATCAGCCTTTAGATTCGGTTCGTGTCCGATTGGAGATACGGGAGTGGGTGATGATGGCTTATTATGAAAGCTCTGACCTTGCCTGCGTGGTTTATAGCAGGCACGGGGTCGCTCACCGACCGTGTGATCTGTAGGGAGGAGCTACAGGGCAAACTTATTTAAGATTCTGTCCGTGTCCGGTCGATCGGATAAACGAGGAGCCTTTATTATGAAAACGCTGACCTTGTCTGCGTGGTCTAAAGGAGGCACAGGGACGCTCATTGTGAAGGCTCTCGCATTATCTTGGCCAAAGGTCTCACAGGGGAACTCTTATTATGAAATTTCTGTTCGTATCCAAGATATAAGAAACACTTATTGTGAATGCGCTTATAGGAGTTATAAGAAAAATAAAAACATGAACTCTTATTATACAGTCTATACCCGTATCTAATTTGTACGATCCATTGGGGTTCTTATTGTGAAGTCTCTGCCCGTATCTGGTTTGTGGGCGACACAGGGGGTGGGTACTCTTACTATGAAGGTTCTGCCCGTGTCTGGTCTATGGACGACAGGGGGGGGGGGGGACTTTTACTGTGAAGGTTCTGCCCGTGTCTGGTCTATGGGCGACAGGGGGGACTCTTACTGTGAAGGTTCTGCCCGTGTCTGGTCTATGGGCGACGGGGGGGACTCTTCCTGTGAAAGTTCTGCCCGTGTCTGGTCTGTGGGCGACAGGGGGGAGGACTCTTACTGTGAAGGTTCTGCCCGTGTCTGGTCTATGGACGACAGGGGGGACTCTTATTGTGAAGGTTCTGCCCGTGTCTGGTCTGTGGGCGACAGGGGGGGCTCTTACTGTGAAGGTTCTGCTCGTGTCTGGTCTATGGGCGACAGGGGTGGGGGCTCTTACTGTGAAGGTTCTGCCCGTGTCTGGTCTATGGGCGACAGGGGGGACTCTTACTGTGAAGGTTCTGCCCGTGTCTGGTCTATGGGCGGCAGGGAGGGGGGAGGGACTCTTACTGTGAAGTCGCTGCCCGAGGCCGCGACTGCTGACTCACGGTGACTGTGCCGCTCTCCTCGGCCCAGAAGCGGGGCCGAGAGGACGAGGAGAGACGAAGTGAGACGAGGAGAGACGAGGTGAGGGGCTCACGACGCGCGCGGTGCGGAGAGGAAGAGGTGAAGCGGGAGAGACGCGAGGAGAGATGAGGTGAGGTGGAGGTGGAGACGCGAGGCGGGGGAATGGGAGCAGGAAGACGGGGGGGCGGGGAGGGAGCAGCAGAGAGCGGGAAACGATGTGAGGGTGATGAGGAGGGCGAGGAGAGATGAGAGATGACGAGGTGAGGGTGATGAGGAGGGCGAGGAGAGATGAGGGGATGATGAGAGATGACGAGAGGAGAGAGAGACGAGGTGAGGCCGTGGCGGCCCCTAGGCTGGTTTGTGATTGTTGATGTCGAGGCTGTGGTTGGCAATGTGGTTGTAGGCTGTGGTTGTAGACTGTGTGGTTGGCAATGTGGTTGTAGACTGTGGTTGTTGACTGTGTGGTTGGCAATGTGGTTGTTGACTGTGGCTGAGAACGTGCTTGTAGAAGCCTTGGGGACATTGTGGTTGTTGTAGTTTGTGGGTGTTGACTGTGGGTGGTGACTGGTTGTTGACTGTGGTTGTCGAGGCCTTGTTGACATTGTGGTTGTTGTGTCTGTTATAGACTGTGGTTGTTGACTGTGTTGTAGACATCTTGTTGACATTGTGGTTGTTGTGTATGTTGTAGACTGTGGTTGTTGACTGTGTTGTAGACACCTTGTTGACATTGTAGTTGCTGTGTCTGTTGTAGACTGGTTGTTGACTGTGTTGTAGACTGTGGTTGTTGACTGTGTTGTAGACACCTTGTTGACATTGTAGTTGCTGTGTCTGTTGTAGACTGGTGTGACATTGTAGTGCTGTGTCTGTTGTTGTAGACTGGTTGTTGACATTGTAGTTGCTGTGTCTGTTGTAGACTGGTTGTTGACATTGTAGTTGCTGTGTCTGTTGTAGACTGGTTGTTGACATTGTGGTTGCTGTGTCTGTTGTAGACTGGTTGTTGACATTGTAGTTGCTGTGTCTGTTGTAGACTGGTTGTTGACATTGTGGTTGCTGTGTCTGTTGTAGACTGGTTGTTGACATTGTGGTTGCTGTGTCTGTTGTAGACTGGTTGTTGACATTGTAGTTGCTGTGTCTGTTGTAGACTGGTTGTTGACATTGTGGTTGCTGTGTCTGTTGTAGACTGGTTGTTGACATTGTAGTTGCTGTGTCTGTTTTAGACTGTGGTTGTTGACTGTGGTAGATGTGGTTGACATGTGTGTTGCTGTGTCTGTTTAGACTGTGGTTGGTGACTGTTGTAGACTGTGGTTGTTGACTGTGTGTAGACTGTGGTTGTTGACATTGTAGTTGCTGTGTCTGTTTTAGACTGTGGTTGTTGACTGTGTTGTAGACTGTGGTTGTTGACATTGTAGTTGCTGTGTCTGTTTTAGACTGTGGTTGTTGACTGTGTTGTAGACTGTGGTTGTTGACATTGTAGTTGCTGTGTCTGTTTTAGACTGTGGTTGTTGACTGTGGTTGTCGAGGCCTTGTTGACATTGTGGTTGTTGACTAGTTGTTGACTGGTTGTAGAGACCGTATTGACATTGTGGTTGCTGTAGCTGTTTACACTGGCTGTAGAGACTGTGGTTTTTGAGACTGGGTGTTGTAGACTGTGGTTGTAGACTGTGGGTGTTGTAGAGAGGCCTTGGCGACATTGTGGTTGTTGTAGACTGTGGATGTTGACTGGTTGTTGACTGTGTTTGTAGACTTTGGTTGAGATCGTGGTTGTAGACACCTTGGTGACATTGTGGTTGCTGTAGCTGTTGAGACTGTGGTTGTTCTGGACTGTGGTTGTAGAGGCATTGTTGACATTGTAGTTGCTGTAACTATTGCTACTTTGTGGTTGTTGAGACTGTGGTTGTTGACTGTGGTTGACGTCTTGGTTGTTGGGGGGGGCCTTGGTGACAATGTGGTTGTTGATGTAGTCAAAACTGGTTTGTGTGGCTGTCGACAATTGAAGGTGTTGGGTTTGATGTTGTTGTTGGTTGTGTGATTATTGAGACAGGTTGACACTGTGATTTTGGTTGGTTGTGTGATTATTGAGACTGGTTGACACTGTGATTGTTGTTGGTTGTGTGATTATTGAGACTGGTTGACACTGATTGTTGTTGCGACTGTTTGTGTCATTGTTGAGACTGACTGAGGCTTTGGTCTAGGGCAGTGATTGTGTTTTGTTGAGGTTGTTATTCGTAGTTGCTGTAATTGTGGTGGTGGTTGTTGTTGGTGATTGTTGTGGTTGTTGGTCGGCTCCGTATCATAGTGCTGGTGGTAGTTTTAGTCGTTGTTGTAAGTACAGTACGGTAGTGGTTGTAGTACAGAGGAAGGTGGTGTATATATGGTGGTGGTTGTAGTCATGATGTAGTTTTTGCAGGACAGTCGCGGTTGTTTTTGCTCGTGGGAGTTGTGGTGGTTGTTGTATGGGTTGGTCTCATGGTTGTGGTTAGTGTAGTTTGTGGTTGTTGGGGGAGTTTTGATTGTAATTATCGTGTTGTATTAATTACCCCCCCCCCCCCCCCCACTAATAATGCGAATTTACATAATGCTACTTATGATGGTAATGGTTGTGGTGGCGATAATAGTATGGTTGTGTGTCTCATCACTGGGAGTGACGCAAAGGTGGGTTGGCATTCGTTTGTCGTGACCCCACCACCACCACTCCTCACACACATGTCCTTATGAGCCTTGATATGTGCTTACAAACCGTGAATGTCCCACGCAGTTAATTTTGTCTTATTCTACCGTCCCTCACAGGTTGCGATCCCGAGTCAGCCTTTGTGGCCTGCAGATGATGCCCTGGGAGTTGTCTCACTAGACAGCACCAATTGCCGAGTGATGGGTGCACGTGGTGGATCCGAAAACGCCACCTCCAACGGCACTGCACAACTGCGGCCGACAACCATAATCATAGCCACAACTATAGCCACAACCTCAAACGCACCCTTAGCTGAGGAACCTGAACCGTGATCAACGATAGTGACCACACCTGTTTTGGTGTCTCCGATTCACAACGACACAACAAAATCAATCACACTGGTACATATATTCTCCAACAGCCCGCCAAAACCACAATCGACCACATCTGCCCCTGTGTCTCAACGCATTTCGCCGTATCTCCCGCTGCCACCTTTCTCCTCCTGTGACTTTCATATCCCCTAACTTCTTCCGCCGTCCTGTGTCTTGTGCCTCCCTTCTTCTTCCTGTGCTTTCCTTCTTCCTGTATCTCCTCGCACCTCTCTTAATCCGTGTGCCCCACCAGTATCCCAACCGTGCCGCCCCCGGCCCGAATCTCCCTGGCCATGTCTGAGGACCGTGACTGCGACTCCCCGTGCCCCCCGTATCTCCCCACGGCATCCCCGGGGAATCAGTGTGGCTCAGAGCCATGGGGCTGCGGGGCGGTGGTGCTGCCCTCCATGCGGGGCGCCGGCGTTCTTGACTACTCGCTTGAAGGCCACGCCGTCGCCGCTTTCACCGTGCTCAACGATCTGCGGCTGCGCAGGCAGCTGTGTGACGTGACGCTGCGCGTGCGGGCCGGTGGGGACGAAAAGGACGTGGAGGCGCACAAGGTAAAAACACGGAGGGATGACATGGGGACATGCGGGAGGGAAGACAGTATTAGGGGGGGCACATAGGGAAGATAAAGGAAACAAGGGGTAGACACGAGAAGATGGGGGATAACACGGGGACTCAAGAAAGCAGGGAAATATGTAAATATAGTGTCGCAGGGAGACAGGGACAAGAAAAGGCAGCCACAAAAGAACAAGGAAAAATGCAGGGAGGCATGAGGAGATGTTGGAAGACATGAGGACAAGAGGAACGTTGAAATGTATGATGTTGAGACACAGTGACACACAGGAGGGTGGACAGAAGATAGAGGGGTGGATAAGAGACACTGAAAGGCATGAGTAGACAGGAACACAGGGGGAGATGCTAATACCGGGAGAGGAAAGACACAAGTAACGCGGTATGTGCAGGGAGACGCTGGGTGGTTCGGGGAATTCGGGAAAACAGGAAGAGACGGGAGACAAGAAGTACAAATTTAGATGCCGTGAGACATGGGGAGACACAAGACATTGTGAAGAGAGGAACATTGAGGCACACATGGTGAAGACAAAGAATATGTAGATATGGGAATTTAAGAGAGACAGATAATTGATGCGAGGCATGGAGAGGTGAAAGGAAATATGAGAGAAACAGGGTAAGGGGAGGTGCTGGGAGTTACAGGGAACATGGGGAGACACGGGCAGAGGGGAAGGTGAAGATAGGCACAGGAAGACACGGGGAGGATTTGAGGACCAGACGAGATACCGGATGGAGGCAGTGAGAGACAGAAGGAGATTGGGGCAACACAGGGAAACTCTGGGAGGCATGGGGTTACATTGGGAGGAGAAAGGTGGTATGGGGCAGTATGGGGGTGGGCAGGCCTCAGTAAAGTTATATGGCCAGGACGTCATCACTATTTAACAGTCGGCCACACCAAAACAAAGCACCTGCCTCAGTACTTTGTTTCATCAATCACTCCAGCCCCTCAGCTCTCCATAAGCGATGTGGTATTCATACAGAAGATGGAGGAGTTCCTGTACCTGGGCAGTGTACTTATAGCCAGTTCTGGTTCAGAAGCGGAGGTCCTACTCTGAAACAGTCGAGTGGAATTCTCTTTTCATTGGCTGCTTAACGCTGGCCTGTCGCTCCACATGAAGCTCTGGGTCTTCTCGGCCATAGTCATGCCCTCATTTCTCTATGCTTACAAAATGTGGACCCCTATAGAGGAATACCTGAGCCGGTTTGAAACATCTCTGACAGAACCATGAGAGATCTGGACATAGTCCCATCAGTGAGCTCCCAGCAGGCATAGTTGTGTTGGCTGGGTCGTGTAGCCCGCTTGTCCAGCCGCTGTCTCTGTGGAGGCAGTTCGTGAAGGTCGCTACTGGGCAGTTGGAAAAAGTTGCCATCCAGCAACGAAGGAGGGTGGAATAGAGATGCGCACAACAATGAGCAGAGCGTAACACAGTTAAAGCATATCAAGTTGGAACAGTGGGGAGAACAAGTGGAGCATCTGCTCGTCATCTCAGTTAACCCATCATTAATGGACCTGTCCCGTGGTCTCCTGGCAGCAAAACTTCGACACTTCGTATGTATTAGAGGTGCACCTAGCCAGACATATTCACCATCATGACGTCACAACTATTTACTGGCAAATGCCAATTACTGTGATGATTGAGTGAGTGTGTAAGGGGGTATGTAAATAGTGGGGAGCGGTGGTGTAGCGATTCGCGCGCTGCGCTACGAACCCGGCAACCCGGTTTCGTTTCCTGCTCACGGTAAACACCAGTGACGATTATCTGAACCGGTCCTGGGCCTTCCCTATGTCGACTCAGCCTCAAATGAGTGCTTGGTGCGGTGTGCAAACATCGCCACTTTTGGGAGACAAAGGCGGCCGGGCGTGGTGCTGGCTGCCCACTCCCTTGTGTGCCATGCAGGCCTTCATAGGTGCTCGCTAACAGCACTTGCCCCAACAGTCTGTTAAGGCTATACATGGGATCTTTGTTTCGTTTGTAAATGAATACATTAGTGTATGAGTGAATGTGTAATTGTGTTAGTGGGAAAGCATGTGAGTAACTTCAGGAATGAGTGCATGAGTGATTTCATGAGTAAGTGAACATGTGTGTGAGGGAGTATGGGAGTTTATAAGTAGAGAGTGGGAGCATCGTAGTTGGTGCACCGCGTTACAAACCCGGCAACCTGAGTTTGATTCCCACTCACGGCCAACATGAGTTTCATATATCTGAACTGGTCCTGGACCTCCCATACGTTGCCTTAAATTAGTACTTGATGCGGTGTCTAAGCATCTACATTGGGGTGGACGGGCATGTTGCTATCCACGGTATCCAATGTCGACCTTTATAGCTGCTTGCTAACCACTCGCCCTGAACAGTGTGTTGTATATGTGAGTGTGTTGGTAAGCGAGCGTGTCGCTGTGTCCCTGTACCCCATTGCCAGGTGGTGCTGGCCTCCTGTAGCCCCGTGTTCCGAGCCATGTTCACAGCTGGGCTGAAGGAGAGCGCCATGGAGGTTGTCACCATAGAGGGCGTCCACCCCAAGGTCACTCACTCAACAACTCGCCCACTTAGACATTCACCCGATCACTCATTACTACTCACCCACCCACCCACACTCAGCCACTAAACCTCTTAAAAATTATCTCAATCGCTCATCTACTCACTCATCCACTTGCTCCCTCACCCCCTCACCTATGCCCTCACAACCAACTCACTTAATCACCCACTCATCCTCTTACACACATACCCACACTCAGCAAACCACTCTCCCATTCACCGACGCATTCAATCATATTTACCGACTCACTTATCTACCCACTAAAGCATACACTAACTTACCGTTTGATCACTCACACTCTCACAACCGTATGATGATTGTGTATGTTTGTTGTGTGTATGCAGTGGCTGTGTCAGTTTGTGTGCGTGAATGTGTGGGTAAAGCGGTGGCGCAGTGCATAGCGCACTACGCTACAAACCCGGTAAGCCAAGTAAAATTTCTGCCCACGGCTGTGGTGAATATTTGAACCAGTCCTGGCCCTCCCCCAGGACGATTCAGCCTCAAATGAGTACCTGGTGCAGTGTGTAATCATTAGTACTTGAGAGACAAAGCTGCCGGATGTGGTGTTGGTCACCCACCCCCTCCTGTGTCGTTCTGGCCTTCATAGTTGTTTGCTAACAGCACTTGCCCCAACAGCCTGTTAAGGCTATACGGGGGATCTTTGTCTTCTGTATATGTGGGTGTGTATATGTATGTGTGTATACGTCTGTGTGTAGGTGATGGAGCGGCTGGTGGAGTTTGCGTACACGGCACGCGTCTCCGTGGGCGAACGTTGTGTGCTGCACGTGATGAGCGGCGCCGCCATGTACCAAATGGACGCCGTCGTCACCGCCTGCTGTGACTTCCTGCTCAAGCAGCTGGACCCGAGCAATGCCATCGGCATCGCCAGCTTCGCCGAGCACATCGGCTGCACGGAGCTGCAGAGGGGCGCGCGCGACTACATCTACCGGCACTTCAGCGAGGTCTCAACTCGCACATGTACACTACACCGTGCACACTATCCTGTCTGCACTGTGCACAAAGAGAGTGTGCACGACAACTGGACACAATATGCAGAGTTCCAGAGAGGCGCGTGCAACTGCGTCCAATGCCACTTCGATGAGATGTCTCACACAATATACTCCGACAGAAACAGATTATATGTGACGGTATGCACACTGTACCATATACACTACGGCTGGTACACATTGGCATCACGATTTCACTCAAGAGGCTGTATTTTTGTGTCTTGTTTGTATCATCTCTCTCGTATGGTCTGTCTGCTTCAATCTGTTAGTAGGAGGACTTCTCGAACCGGTCTCTCACTGTGTCTCTGTTTTTCCCATCTCGGGTTTTCTAACAGGAGTTTTATAACATGTCTCCTATGTCTTTTTCGTCTTGCCATGTCTCAAGTGTGTAAATGGAAGGAGTTGTGTCAAACCAACTCCCTATCTCCCACTGTCTCCCGCTTGTCTCTGTGTCACCGTCTCCCTGCGTCCCTTGCGTTCCAGATGGAAGTCCTCCATAACTGGCCTTGCCATCTCCCTCTGTCCCTGCTGTCTCAGGTGTGCAAACAGGAGGAGTTCTACAACCTGTCCCACTGCCAGCTGCTGACTCTGATCAGCCGCGACGAGCTGAACGTGCGCTGCGAGTCGGAGGTCTACAACGCGTGCCTCGAGTGGGTTCGCTACGACTGCGCCAACCGTCGGCCCTACATACACGCCCTGATCAACGCCGTGCGCTGCCACTCTCTCACACCCAGCTTCCTGCAGGTGCGTGCGGGGCACACACGCACACGTGCAAGTACACACAGACACGTGCAGGGACATAAGTAGTACACACAGACACGTGCAGGGACATAAGTAGTACACACAGACACGTGCAAGTACACACAGACACGTGCAGGGATGTAAGTAGTACACACAGACATGTGCAAGTACACACAGACACGTGCAGGGACATAAGTAGTACACACAGACACGTGCAAGTACACACGGACACGTGCAAGTACACACGGACACGTGCAGGGACATAAGGACGTGTGTAAATGGACAGGCTTTGTCCAGGTACACAAAAACAAAGATCCCCCATGTAGCCCACACAGAGCATTCGGGCAAGGGCTGTGAGCGAGCGCCTATGAAGGTCGCCATGACACTTGTGGGGGTAATGTGGCCAGCATCACGCCCAGCTGCCTTTGTCTCCTCAATGCTGATGTTCGCGGCAGTGGTGGCTGGACGCCCACGATCCAGCGCTTTGGAGGCAAGAATTAGCAGATCATACAGATATTTATCGGAGCAGTGAGATGGCTAGCAGAAGGCAGTACAGAAAGTGGGATTATCAATCCATCTGTGCGGACATTTGAGTGTTACGTTCCCTCACCTCCTCTTCACCTACCTGTTTATTGTGTCCCCGTGTCGCAGGCTCAGCTACAGAAGTGTGAGCTGCTGAGGTCAGACTCTGCTTGCAAGGATTACCTGGCACGCGTCTTCCACGAGCTCACGCTGCACCAGCCCAGCGCCTGCGCAGCCAAGGGCCGCACCCCTGCCGTGCCCCAGCTCGTATACACGGTGAGCACACTCCAAGAACACTAAACACGTACATAGACCTCCGTATAGCCTTTAACAGACTGTTGAGGCAAGTGCTGTTCACGAACACCTTTGAAAGGCCAGCACGGCTAACGAGGGGGTGCGTAGCCAGCACCACGCCCGGCCGCCTTTGTCTTCCCAGTGGCGATGTTTACACATCTTACCAGCTACTAATTTTTGAGGCCGAGTCAACCTAGGGGAGGCCCAGGACTGGTTCAGATAATTGTCACTGGTGTTGGCCGTGAGCGGGATTCGATCTCGGGTCGCCGGGTTCATGGCACAGCGCGCCAACCGCTGAACTGCCACTCCCCACTAAACACAGAAACTATACACACGCACACACCATCGACACACTACACCACACACACTGCACCCCCGCAGTGCCCCATCTCTTACACACAGTGCACACACTCTACATACACTAAACACAGATTCACACATACTTGCATACACCATCCATACCAGTGATGGACAACCTAGACGAGTCGGTGAGCCATATGAGTGACCCTCCTTCACCGCAGTAGGCCGCTAGCTTCAAATCGTGCTTGTGCACTAATCATGACCACACATAGCCCTGAATATACTTAGACCAGGCCACCACAAGGGCCTCCATGAGCCGCATGTGGCCCAAGGGCTGCAGGTTGCCCAACACTGATCTATACACAACACCACAGACACCACACTGGGCGTGCCCCAGCTTATACACATGGTAACTATGTACCACGTGTACATGCACACTCCACCATGCTCCTTTCACTGCTCCTCCCAATGATGCCTTCCCTGCTTTTCCAGCTGCTCCCCCTCTTCTGTTCCTCATCCTCACGTTTCTCCTCCTGCTGCTCCTCCCCCCACCCACACCCCCTTGCTCCCCCTTCCCCCGTGGTCGCAGGTGGGCGGGTACCTACGCCAGTCCCTGCCGAGCGTGGAGGCGTGGTGCCCCGGCCGCACGTCGTGGCTGCGCCTGTCCGACCTGCCGGTGCCGCGCTCGGGGCTGGCGAGCTGCGTGGTGCACGGCCTGCTCTACGCCGCTGGCGGCCGCAACAACTCCCCCGACGGCAACACCGACTCGTCAGGCGCTCGACTGCTTCAACCCCATGAGCAACCAGTGGACGCGCCGGCAGCCCATGAGCGTGGCGCGCAACCGTGTCGGCCTCGGCGTCATCGACGGGCTCATCTACGCCGTGGGGGGCTCTCACGGGTGCATGCACCACAGCAGCGTCGAGAGGTGGGGGACATGGGTTGGTGGGGGGGACATGGGTTGGTGGGGGGGGACATGGGTTGGTGGGGGGGGACATGGGTTGGTGGGGGGGGACATGGGTTGGTGGGGGGGGACATGGGTTGGTGGGGGGATGACATGGGTTGGTGGGGGGGGACATGGGTTGGTGGGGGGGACATGGGTTGGTGGGGGGGGACATGGGTTGGTGGGGGGGGACATGGGTTAGTGGGGGGGGACATGGGTTGGTGGGGGGGGACATGGGTTGGTGGGGGGGGACATGGGTTGGTGGGGGGGACATGGGTTGGTGGGGGGGGGGTGCTCAGGGGTGGGGGTTTGGCGAGATGCGGGAGCAACACCGGAGGGTGTCTCAGCTGCAGGTGAAGAGAAATAGGGAGACATGGTGGATTCGAGAAAGAGACATGGGAAGATACAGGGACAGGTGAGTTAAGAGTAGCGTGGACAGGTGAGATAAGGACACGGGGATATGGGTGAGACGTGGGAACACGTGCGTTACCCGCACCACGGCAGTGTGGAGCGGTCGCGACGAGGGGCTCCTGGGAGGTGTAGCGGGGGATACGGGGGACAAGGAGACAGGGGAGACATGGGTGTCTCCACCATGGCAATGTCGAGTGGTGGAGATGAGATTGACAGGGGGGATAGGGAGAAACATATGGGGACACAAATACAGGGGGACACAGCAGGATGCAAGGACACCTCACCCAGGTGTCTGCACCACGTTAGCATGGAGAGTGAGGGCAGGTAGGGGAAACAACGGGTAACAGGTATACGTGGGTAGACGGGAAAAGACGTGTGTCTAAACTAAAGCACTGTGGAGAGACGAAGATGAAAGTGGAGATGGGTGATATGGGGGAAACACAGGTACATGGGTGTTTAAACCACATCCGTGTCGAGCGTGGGAAGTGTAAACTGAAAGTGGAGGACACCAGGCCTGTGCATGATTTGTGTTTCTCTCTGTCCCCGTGTCCCCCGCTGTCTCTTTTCCCCATGCTCTCCCATGTATCCCCGTATGCCTCTGTTTCCCTTGCTTGTCTCTTTGTGTGTTCCAGTGTCTCCCGCTATTTCTTTGTATGTCCCCGAGTCCCCTGTCTCTATGTTTTCCTGTGTCTCTCTGTACACCCATGTGTGTTTTTGTGTCCCATCTCCCTGTGTGTCCATGTCCCTTTGTGTCATTTTGGCCTGTCCACTCATGTGTCATTTTGGCCTATCCACTCATGTGTCCTTGTATGTCCGTGTGTCTCATGTTACCCTGTGTTTTGAGTGTCCTGTTTCCCTCTGTTTCCCTGTATGTATCCTTGTGTCCCTGTGTCCCCGTGTATCCCTATGTCCCCGTGTCCCAGGTACGATCCTGAGAGAGATGAGTGGTCTCGGGTGGAGCCCATGTCCACAGCCCGTATCGGCGTCGGCGTGGCCGTTCTGAACAGGTGACGTGGAAACACGGGGACACGGGACACACTGAGAGGCAGAGAGACCAGGGACTCGGAGACACGGAGACAGATCTACACGGGGGACATGCTGGAGGCAGGAGAGACATACAGACTCTGAGACACGAGGATACAAAGACACTGAGATAAAAGACACGGACACACTGGGCAGATAAGAGAAAGAGGGAGACATGGGAGTACACTGGAAGGCCAAGCGACGTGGCATTGGGGACTTGGGGATACGGAGACATGGGACAACAAGGAGAGCTCTGCGTATTCTGTGTGATGTTGTTTAGGTTGCAACATGTAGGTTGTTGTGGTTTATTGTGTTATCCTGGTAGTGCGGTAGTTGTTGTTGTGTGGTTGTTGTGTAGGTTGTTGTACGCTGTAAGAGGGTTTAAGTGCTGTTGTGGTGATGCAGTGATGGTCTTGTATGGCTGTTATGCTATTGCTTTATAGGTTGCTGTGCGCTTCAGGAGGATTCGAGTGTCGTGTTGTGATGATTGTTGTGTGGCTACTCATATAGTGGTGGCTGCTGTGTGGTGGCTGTAGGTTGTTTTGTACTTTAGGAGGCTTTGATTGTTGTTTTATTGTGGTAATGTAATGATGGTGGTTGTGTGGTTGTTGTAGGATGCTGTAGGTGGCTTTGAATGATATTGTGGTAGTATAGCAATGGTAGTGGAGTGCTTGTGTGGTTGTATTGGTTGCTGTATGCTGTAGGAGGTTTATCAGTGTTGTATAGTGATGGATGTTGGGTGGTTGTTGTAGATTGCTCTACACTATAGGTATAGTGATGGTTGTCATGTGGTTGTCAGTTGCTCTACACTATAGGAGGAGTGATGGTTTGTCGTGTGGTTGTAGGTTGCTGTACGCTGTAGGAGGGTTTGATGGGGTGCACCGACTCTCCTCGGTTGAGTGCTATCATCCTGAAAACGATGCGTGGCTTCCGGTCGCCTCCATGGGAACTGTGCGCAGTGGAGCAGGTACGCGTGCACACGCACTCACATACACACTCACATACCGATACAAAACACACAGATCTCCCGTACTCCCCTTCACAGACTGTTGGGGCAAATGCTGTTAGCGAGCACCTATGAAGGCCGAAACGGTACATGAGGGGGTGGGTGGGCAGCACCAAGTACTAATTTAAGGCTGAGTCGACTTAGGGGGGAGGCCTTGGAATGGTTCAGATATTTGTCACCAATTTTGGCCGTAAGTGTATCTGCTTGCACTCAGTAGATTGACCAAAGAGCTGTGTACATCGATAAGTATCCGCCCATTTAAAGGTCTTTCTACATGGGCACATGTACGTACTTGGCGGCTATGACGACTGTGTTATTGACGATTGCGTTAATGATAGTTTGTGGTTGTAATTCTTGTAGTTGTGCAGTGCGGTGGTGCTCGTGAAGTGTTGTCGTGGTTGTAATAGTTGGGTTGCTGTGGTTGTTAGGAGTGGTTGCGCTGGACCGATACATCTACGCGCTGGGTGGCTACGACGGCGTGGAGCAGCTGGACAGCGTAGAGCGCTACGACCCGGAGACGGACATATGGACGCCCGTGTCTCACATGAGACATCGCAGATCCGCGCTGGGCGTCACTGTCCTTGGGGGGAAGATCTACGTGCTGGGTGAGACACGCAGACACACGACAACGCCGGGACACACACACAGGGGCATAAGGGGACACGTGGGGAGACTTGGGGATGCAGGGGGAGACATAGGGACATACGTGGAGATACAGCAACATAAGGGGAGGCACCAGGGCACTTGGGAACACTGGGGGGTGGGGGGGGATAACACGAGGTCATGAGGAACACGGAGGAAGGCACAGGGACATGCGGAGACGCCCGGGGACACGAGGTGAGAATTTGTGTGGGGTGGGGTGAGACACACGGGGACACGGGGACACACATGGACATAAGGAGATGCTTCGGGATATAATTTGCATGCTGGGTGAGACACGGACATGGGAACATAGAAGAATCTATATAGTAGGTGAGTCACGGACAAGGCTACATGGAAACACAGACAAGGGAGAACACGGGGACATGATCAGACCAGGGACTGGAGAGTGACAGGGTCTTGCGGTCTTGGGCTCACAAAAATGTAATCGTCTCTGTGTGTCTACCATTGTCTTCACGTGTCTGCATGTGCCACTGTGCTTCTTTATATGCCAGAGTCCATACATGTCCTTGTGTTCCTATGTCCCCCTGTCTCTCCCGTGTATTATTTTGTCCCCATATCCCCCATATCTGTCCCCATGTCCCCAAAAATATCCCCCTGGCCCCATCTTCTTCTTACACACGTATATATATCTGCCTCTGTCCCGCTATGTCTCTCCATGTCTCCTCACTTCTCCCTGTCTCCGTTACTCCCATTTCTCTCTCTGTTCCCGTCGCTTCATATTTCCCCCGTCCCCATATCCTTGTGTCTCTCGATGTTTACCTCTATCACCAATGTCTACCTGTGTGCTTTTGTTGCTCTGTGTCTCCCCACGTCTCGTTATTTCCCCACGTATCCCCACATGTACCTGTGTGTCTACCTCTCCATGTGCCTCTGTCTGCTGTGCCACTCCATGCTCTGCCTTCTGTCCCCTTCTCCTTCCCATATCTCCCCATGTATCTCATATTCCCCTAACCCCCCATGTCCTTGTGTCCCCCTACCCCCATGTCTTACCCGTGCCCCAAGGCGGCTATGACGGACAGGCGTTCCTTGCCAGTGTCGAGAGTTACAACGCCGAGTTGGACACCTGGACTGAGGAGACGCCCATGGCATCGGGGCGCAGCGGCGCCGGTGTCTCCGTCACCATGGAGCCCTGTCTCGCCCGTCTCGAGTACTGAAATGTGAAGACACAGGGACATGGACCCAGAGGCACGGAGACACCGACACGGGGACACGAAGATACAGAAACGACCATGGTGTTTGAGCAGACCGGGGCCTGTCTTTCCATGACCATGGGAGCCCTGTTTCTCCTGTCTCGAGTACTGAGACTCGAGGACACTGGGACACGGAAGCACGAAGACACAGAAACACAATGACACAAGGATACAGGCACAACCACTGTGTTTAAGCAGACTGAGACTGGTGTCTCTTTTTCCATGGAGCCCTGTGTCTTTCGTCTTGAGTCCTGAGACACGGAGACATTAAGACACGGGGACATGGGACAACAGGGACACAAGTTAACAGCGGCAAGGGGATATGGAGACATGGGGAAATGGAGACATGAAGACGTGGAAACACAGAGGCACAAAAACATGGAACACATGGGGACATGGGGACATGGAGACACATGCATATGAAAGAATTAAGATGTGGGTGTGGAAAAATGAAAACAATGAGACAGAGAGACAAGGAAATATGGACACGGAGCCATGGAAACTTGGAGATATGAAAACGTGGAGATGCAGAGACAAGGAGATGGGGAAACAGAGATACTGAGGGAGTGTTGATGAGTGTGGTTGGTCACAAACACTTGTGACCCCTTCACCTTTAAACTGATGTAGATCCAGTGGGTGGTAATAACACCCCCCTTACACTTTCTTGGCTCAGTGACCATTTAACCAATCATGACTTAGTGACCAGTCACAACCACAGAGCCATCACGCCACCGGGACTGATGATGAACACAATGACTGATGATGAACACAATGACTGATGATGATCCTGAACTGAATGTGACCCTCTTGGGAGATAGTGACCCAATGACCGGTCACGACCTCTGGACGCTGGCGAGGAATAATGGTTGCCATTTTGAATTCCCCTTCTGAGATGGAGTCACGACGATGATGTCGGTGATGATGTCACATCTGTTAATTGTAATGATAATGTTGATATTGATGGTGATGATGGTCACATTTATAATTGTGATGTCGATGTTAATATGTTGATGATAGTTATGTTTGTGATGTTGATGATGTGTGAATGACGGTGATGATGTTCATGATGATGAAATAATTTGCTGCTTTAAATAAAGAAGTCGGACGTGAATCTAATTGTGAGCCCATGGCCTGATCGCCCATTGACCTAATTACACGTGACCCAGGATGATGGGTAGAATGCATGACATGCTACCAGCGAGCCATCAACAAATCACATGACCCCAAAGTGCCACAAGCGCTGTGGTGATGTGACCGAGCCTTAAGACTTGTTAATTATAGTTGTATCTGTGTTAACGTATGTGTTAACTTGTACGGTATATGTAATTGGTACCTGATACTACCAATACTAGTTGTATGTGGAGATTTGTGTACGGTATATACATGTGCAAATATGTGGCTATGCATGCATTATGTATGTATTATAGGAATCTGTGGCGGAGTGGTTAGCGTGCTGTGCTACAAACCGGGCGACCTGAGTTTGATTCCTGCTCATAGCCAACATCGATGACGAATACCTGAACTGGTCTTTGGCCTCCAATATGTCCACTCGTCATTGCAATCAGTAGCTGGTGCGGTGTGTAAATATCAGCACTATGGAGACAAAGACGGCTGGGTATGGTGCTGGTCACATCCCCCCCCCCTTGTGTGCCGTGTCGGCCTGAAGAGGTGGTCACGAACTGCACTTGCCCCAACAATCAGATGAGACTAGAGGAGGGATCATTGTCTACAATGTGAGGAGCGGTAGCGCAGTGATTGACTCACTGTGCTTTGAACCAACTGTTCTGCTCTTGCTCGCATGCCAATAACAGTTGCGAATATTTTTTACCGGTCCTGGGTCTCCCCTTATTATTCTCAAAAACCGTTTCATATTACAATCTTCATTTATATGGCTTGCTATCTAGTGTATCTCTTCGATTCTTCACCAAATCCACATTTCCAAACTTTCCAATGTCCCAATACCCCCCTTTTCCCATGCTTACGAGGCATATGTTGTTACACTGCACACGTTTATGGTAGTTGTATATGTGTGTAATGCTTTGTATGCATATATGTGCATATAGTTCGTTGTAAATTAGCATTCAACTGTAGCACTTTTCAAAACGCTTTCTTTTCCATCCCTTCATACGAAAAAAGAAGATTGTATGCATCAACATCGTAGAGACAAAGGCGGCCTGCATATGTGTGTACAATGTCTGTATATGTGTACGCATCATTGTGTATCCACATGCATCGATATTTACAGCAAATGTGTAGCAGCAGAACAACCCCCAATCTCTATCAGGGTGCCAGATTATAAAAGCTCAAGTTGGGCACTGCCATCAGGATGACAGGCTGGCAGTAATCAGCTGTCTACCCTGGCGTGCCCAGCCTCGACAGTAAGGTCACAAGGATATGCCAGAGGCCCAGAGAGCACAGTTATTTGTAACGCCCTCTGGTCAAATGCCATTTGGCTCAACTAAGCGACGGCTGGAACTCCTCCCCGTTGGAGGACCTCCAGGAACGGGCGATTGCTATGGCTGCCATGTGGAATGTCCGAACGCTCGCTGGGGACGAAAGAATGCCATTCCTTCTGTTGGGAGATGGAGCAGTCCATCATCCGGTGGACTGGCTGTAGCTCCTTCGACCACGAGGGGTGGAGAGTCTTCTCCTCTGGGCAAGATAACAGACAACACGGAGTAGTTATTCTGGATAAATGAATGAAAGAAACCCGGGAGTGTGGTGATGAGAGCTGGGAAGTCATGAGTTCAAGGCTGCTGTTGTTCATCTCAACAGAAGATGAATGGTGGTGGTTCTCTAAACCGCTACATCCGTGCAGGGTTGCAGGTAACGTTCATGAGTCTGACACCACCTGTTATCTAAAATGTTTGCTAAGGTGGCTCCTCATGAGAACCATCTTATTCGGTGACTTTATTGCCTGGGGTGAGTCATAATATAAACACGTGGATGTGAGTGATTGGAAGGCAAGGGGTCAGATTAGCTTCAACAAGAACGGTAGTTGGCTGATTTGTAACTGTGTGGTGTACCATCCGGTGTAGACATTTGCCTCGATCAGCTGTGACCAATACATAGATCGCGATCCACGGATTGCAGAATATTTTTTGGTGGATCTCAGAACAAACTAACCATAAGCATACCACAATTTTAGTTACGGCTGATGGAAAATACAAATCCCCAATTAGGTTTTAATTTATTATTAACAATAATAACTTCTACCAAGAGATGGGGCTAGTACTTTACGCCTCTCCAGTATTACATTATGGGGTTAAATCCATCCGGGTGACTGTCGGTCAGAGCCTTGTGGTCGGAGTTGAGTTCAACCAACGCCGCTCACAGTACTTGGTGTATTGGGTCAAGGTGCCCTCGAGTCTCATTCAAACCCGCAATAGCCTGGCCTCTGCCGACTGATCATCACCACCACCACCACCACCACGGTCCATGGGCAGATAGCCCCGTATGTGTCCACTGCACATTTCGTCATTTGTTTCCACTTTCCTCCTCTGTCTTGTGCCAATATGCTCAAGTAATGTGCACATCTTTCTGACACCACATTTCTCATGTCCTGTTGTCAAGCCATTCTCTATTAGGTATTCATTTCTTCCCGGTTCCTTACTTTTTAACGAACAACACACTTTTTCATCTTCTTGTTGTCCATCCTTTCTATGTGTCCGTCGTATACGTGCATACTTGTGATGGGAACACATTGAGGTATGCCGATTGTTAATGGTTCTCATAGAATGCAACAGTAGCTTGGAGCTGTGGTTGGCACCTGACCACTCACCCCCTCCCGCTCAAGATATAACAGGAAAGTTGGATACACATTTGGGCTGGAGCTCACGCGTTTGCTATGACAGCACGGGTTACCCGGTCCATACCTCTGCTCTCTGCCTCGGTAAGGGATTCAGTCTTCCGGTATCCTGAAAAGCCCGTTTTCACTGCTACATGTCACCTTTTCTTGGAGGTTAGAGAGCCGTTTAACACTGCAAGGACGAGTGGCAGTCGCAGCCGCTTTGGAGGACTTAAGAACTGCCCCAGTAGCTGTCGAACATCGAGCACCAACTTCATGCTGTCGTATTCTTAGGTTTTTTCGGTAAAGTCACGTAGGTAAAAAATTAAATTAATAAAAGTAAAATAAAATTAAAATAAAATGAAAATCACGACGTTTCGGAGGCAACACAAGCTTCCGTCTTCAGGTGGAAGCTTGTGTTGCCTCCGAAACGTCGTGATTTTTATTTTATTTTATTTTTTATTAATTTTCATTTTTTACCTACGTGACTTTACCGAAAAAAAACCTAAGAATATGAATCCTTGCAGTCACGAAAGCTTCAAATCTAGAATTCATGCTGTCGAGCACGCCACTTGAAGCGCCACCCCCGATGGCCATCCTGAAGGGCAAGGAATGGCGATCCGGTCTTTCACCCACCAGATCAGGTCTGCAGGATTGTTGAGAATTTTTGTTACAGGTTTTGTAAGGGTGGGGGAAACCCCCTCATCTCAAACAACATCATGGGACATCGGGAGAGGACGACCCCGTGGAGATTGCAGAGGCTCTCAGGGTTGGAGGAAGTTAGCCAACTCCCTGCGTGTATGTATGTTGAACTTCTTTCGCACAGTACGTAGTCTAACGTGCTAATCGGAAGTGCGCGGGTGGCTGATGTACTATCTGCCAAAGACCTGAAAAGGGCTTTACTTTTGATCTCAGACTGCTTCCAATAGTTCACATTTCTTTCAGCTAAATGCCAGCTATTATGTTTGATTCTTGCCAACAAATTCGTGACTCAACTCCTTGAAGCTTCCCGGCTGCAGCCTCAGTCCCATTGTCCGCATCCTTGGCGCCCTTCTCGATCCTCACGCTGAACGTTCCCTCGCCTGTCTCCGTGCCCCCCCCCCCCCTCCACTGCTTGCGAGGCCCTGCGCCACGCGTTTGTCACGCTCCAGGCTGAATGTCCCCAATGCCACCTCACAATTCCTTCAGCAACGACAGCTGGTATAACGCCGCCGCCAACCCGGGTCCCTTCCCGAGCTTCCTGGCCTCAGGCCGCTGTTCTTCCCACCCACGATCGTGTGCACCGCGAGATCCGTGTTCTCGCGTTTACATCCATCCACGGACTTGACCCTCCTCTCTACCGCTGCAAACTTTTCCGTCTCTCCCTCCCAGGCAGCTCCCTCTGCTCCATCAACTCTGTCTATTTAAGGCCTCGCCACAGAGACGATCTCCTTCTCTGTCCCTATATGTTACTCTCTCTCTCTCTATGTATCTTGGTGATATCTGTCTGCTTATATGTCTGTCTATAGTTTTCTGGTTACATTTTTGTTGCTATTTCATTTATACCTGATGACGATTGCTTGTGTTGCAATCGAAACGTCGTATGCTATTATTTAATGTATTATTTTATCTTTATACGTGACTTTACCGAAAGAACCAAAGAGTAATTCCTGCAGTCACGAAAGCTCCAAATTAAGATTATAACTCAGACTTCCTCGCTCCCGAGATCCGCTGCTTCAATTCTGGTGGTCGCTCATTTAGCTGCGGTGCTTCCTCGCTCTGGAACTCCTTCTACCACAGGCAACTCCGTCTGGTCCCCTCTTCTCTCTCTGCTCTCTCTCTCTCTCATCAAATGTTTTCACTTCCACCTCCTTGTGTTCGGATCACCGTTCGTTGCTTCTCCTCTCTCCTTCCCTTGCTCCGGTTGCTTCCGGCGAGTTTTCTGCTCGTTACTTTATGGGCGCATTGTCAATGTAAGTCTTTGCCGTTTGTTGCGTCGACCTCTGTGTATGTGCGCACAATGTGCATGTGCGTCAATGTGCATATCTGTGTAAGTGCGCTGCGCTCCAAACCCGGCGAGCGGAATTATTGGACACCAGTGACGATTATTTGAACCGGTTCTGGAGGCACTCCCCTAGATCGACTCAGCCTCAAATGAGTACAAAGGCGGTCGGGCGTGGTTGCTGGCCAACCCACCCCCTCGTGTGCCGTGCCGGCCTTCATTGGTGCGCGTTCACAGCACTTGCCCCAATATTACGTGAAGGCTGCAAGGGGGATCTTTGTCTCTGTATCCTGCGTAAGTTTGTTTATTTTGAATTATGCCAACCAACTCCCAACCCCCCACCCCAAG